ATTCAGGTTGCTGAACTGCCCCTGCTTTTAATCTGGGAAGTCACAGAGAACAAAGCTGCTCTCTAAAAATCATGGAGTTTCAAAGAAAGGGTAAAAGAAAGTTGTGTGTGTAGACAAATGTGCATACAAAGGTATACATACTCTAAACAAAAAATAGTCTTCCCCTTTTCCCACCTTGCCTCTTGCTTACCACGTGCTTGTCAGTATCAGCACTCACACGACTGATGTCTGAGGCACACAGACTTTCTTCAGCACAGAGTGGAACACCACTTCCTGCCTTAGAGTTGATTTTATAATTAGTCCTGTCTTTTCTATTCAACAGCTTTCAGACAGTTTTGTGGCTGAAGTGCACAAATCTCGGATGCTATTTAATAATCCCTTTTTAAAGATTTTCATCCGCTGTGTTGAAGTGGAAACAGCGACTGAATTTTATTTATTTGTGCTACTGTTTAAAGGTCAGCTTCATGTTAAGAGATTCCTGGGATTCATGGAACTTGCTTCTGCTTTTCAGAGGGGTGGGGGTTTTTTTTGGCAACACTAGGAAAAACAATTTAGAAATTCCAGTGCTTTTGATTGTCTTGAAAGAATTTAAAGAATTTGTGGAACAGGATCTAGTAATATCAAGACACTATATGTAAATTAGAAGCAGTGTTTGTATTGCACAGGAATACAAACACTGTTGTCCCTTATTGTTAGGAACTACTTTGACAGACACTGTTACTGGCTGAAATGTCGAAATTTGAGATCTCAGTCACTGTTTGCTCCAGTGATCAACTGAAAGGCTAAGACACTTCTTTAATGAGCACAATGTAAATGAAGTACAGCAGCAGCCATAATGCAAGGGTGTGGCCAGACATGAGCAACCAGTCTGTAATTAGGGCTGAAGCACCACACCAACTTCCTTTATGCCTGAACTAATGCTATGTAATTCAGAAATAAAAATACCAGTCAGAGTTGTCAGTGCTTTCTCTACTGGGAGAAATACAATTCCTGTTCTGTAGTTATCACCACATCTGTCTGCTTCACAAATAAAACCATTCTTATTTCCCCCAACCAGCTGCCCTGCTGAGCAATGAAAGGAAAACTACTGTGCATGATACCCGCAAGCAGTTCTTCACAGTGTTCACATATTGTGGTACTGTGTATGTACCTGTGCATTCAAGGACCAAATTGAATGAAAATACTTTAAAACCAAGCAAAAAAGAACAACCAAAAAACCCCCAACTGTTTCTTCTACTCACTGTATTCCTTTCTATAGGAGAGAGAGAACAAAATACTCCTCACCCAAAACTGCTAGCATTTCTGACAGAGACAGAAAGGTGGTAACGCAGAAATATGAAATTTCTGGATGCCTGGAACAGGCAAAGAAGAACAGTTCCTCTGTGTTTGACTATGAAATAAACAAGATTTCCTTAATCTTACTGTTTTTTCCTGAAAGATGCTGCCTCTGTGAGTTATCAACCTGTAACCATACTTTGTCTTTATATTTTGTCAATGTTCTGAAAAAAAATCACAGCATTTTTGCTTTTTCTTCACCCCAAATACAGAAGCTTACTCTCAATTTACATATACAGAAGGCAGATGTAAACTGCAACTACAGTTAGGAACTTTACTAAATAGAGCTACATTGGGAGATTAAGTTTTGCCACCTCAGTCCCTAGCTGCCAAAAAAGGCACATGGGAGAGTTCATTTGCTCCCAGAAAAAGTACATGTCTGCAAAATATACAACACTCAGGGCACTGTGAAATTATCTTCAGGCTCCACTTGAATAAACTAGCACTTTCTCTGATACGCATCCCAGAAGGAAGATAATTCCTCTCACAGCATCTTGTAAACTTGAGGTGTGATGCTGAAAAAGCAGAACAAAAAACCCCAACACATTCTTATCTTCTTCCTCAAAAACACTTAAGACCCTTCTTATCCTTAAATATATTTGTCTGCAACCAGTCCCCTTTTAATCAAACACCTTGTAGACCATCTGCTTGCTCTTTCAAATCAGTAGTAAGGTTTATTTTTTTCTTGTTTATTTATCAACTGTTAAACCTACCACTTGACCTCACTCTATCGCTGAGAGAAATCACACACTCGTCACTACCTTAGCAGAGATCTGAGGTGAAACAACTATAAAACTATTATGAAATAAGAAAGGCCTACTCACACTACCCTTAGTTAAATGGCACCCAGCACAGAAAACTATCAGCTGTGCCCATCAAGTCTTACCCTGTTACCATTTCAGGGTAACCCTCTGGCTTTAGCAGGAGCCATAAATACAATCTCTAAATCCTGCTATGCTATTTGAGGTCATGAAGAATACAGTCACCCTTTCTACAAATCTATGAGCAAAAATCAACAGCAACCTTCACTGTCTTTGTTTTTGCATCCAGCCAGATCTGACAGCAACGCTGTTAAATGAATAATTCTCCAACATTTAAAATGACACAAAATGCCAAAATCTTGCAAAGGCACTTCCTCACTGTCAAAACAAATCCATTTTCCAGTATACAAGAATTGCATACATGTTTGCAAGCAACAGCACAACCTCTGACTGAAACCTCAAAAGGGAAAGAAATACCTTCTTGAGAAAATCAGCTTATTACAGAGGATTACGTTACCGTTATTCTTAAAGAAACAGTAAAACTGATGAGCAGTAAAGTTAAATAAAATGTAATTAGAAAATAACACTTATATAATTTTTTTTTTTTATGCTCCTGAAGCAAATATGGGAGGGAACATCACAAATGTCCCTAGCGAAAATACACCTGCATGTTGTAGTGCAACACCAGGACTGAAAGCTACTGACATTTAAGTTCGAACAAACATTTTGAAGAGCCGTGCCTGCATGTCTATAGGGCAAAGTCTTGATGAATCCTTCAACCCCATCTTTTGCTCCACGAGGGAAACAAAGACGCAAGAAACAAACCAACAGAAGGAATAAAACAAAGGAGCAGGGAGCCTTGATGAAGGCACGTGACCACTGATTTCTTACTGTTGGCTGCTGCCAGCCTGGTACTCTGTTTGCCTTTTCTCTTTCCTCAATGATGAACAATTTTTTCTTAAAACAATCGATCAACTAACCAACCAACCAACACAACAACACAAAACAGTAAACAAAACCAACAAAAAAACCCCACAAACACAGATAAACAACCACAGTTATTTTAAAATTAACTTCCACTTACCAAAGATTACTGAGCACTGGCTTAAACAGTTACATCATGAATCATCTTGTTTTTGCGGTATGAGAATGATATGGCATTTCTACCCCAATTTCTGCTTCTCTAAGATGACAAATTACCTTTAATGAGACTGGACTTGCACAAACTTTTGTGCAACGGGACATAGGCTTCGTCACAATGCACATCTGCTGACTTAAAACGTATGCAGAGCAAGGCTATACATAAACACAGTTTAATCCTACAGAAGTGCCTACATACAACTACACTGACAAAAAAAACCAACGTAATGCTGTCACTCAACAGAGATTCACCAGAAACAATAAACTTGTCCTCATAATTCCAAATCTAACGCAGAAAGATGAATAATGATCCAGTTTACTTCGCAGTTTGAGGAAATCATGTATGAGAACTGTTACAAAGACTGCAACATGAACCACGTGAATATCAACTGATGACATCTCAATTAAGAAATAAGCCAATAACTACAGAGTCCATCCACCCTCTCCCCAGTCCCAAAATTTTGTTCACTAGTCCATAGATCAAACCAGCTTTGCTACAAGAAAGTAGCCTAGATGAGTCACAGATTTATCTTCATAACTCTTTACAATTTAGGGGACAAACTTGCATTCCTGGACCGTTCAAACTGCAAAACTAACATCCTTGGAACCAAACTTCCCAAAACATATATTTGTGTTGACGAATCATTCTTTTTAGCCAGATGATCAATGTTTTATTTGGAAAATAAATATAATTTCAGCTGTAGTGCTTTACAGGGAGCATCTCAACAAAATATCACTTCTCAACGGCACATATGAATTACGTGGGATAGCTCTTCCAACAGTTCAAAGCGTGTTATTTCTTAAAACTGTATTTGGTAGTCAAGGCAGCCACAATATCCCTGTAAGGAGTATCTGAGTCAGATTTGGTCCTCGGTATGCAACACAGTCGGCGAACAGTCGGAGAACGGAGCAACAGGTTGTGAGAGAGTCCCATGAAGCTTGAGGACAACCAGTACAACGCCATGGACTGCAACAAGACAAACACCGATTTCAGCCTCCCTAGGTGTAATTTAGGCAGCTCTTCACAAACCACAACCACATTCCCAGTTATAAGAAAAACAACGAACCTATGCTAAATATACACTACGTTCCATTTCAAATATATGATTTTCCGCTCTCAACAATTCTGGGAGAAAAATGTCATCTATACTGCAGCTCGACAACAGTTCATAAATTAATTCATACTAAACATGCTTAAACACCTACGTTTCAGACTAAATAAACCTGATGAGACAACTGTATGCACTGTTTTCTATACCACTGCAAAAGCATTCCAAGTAAAACACTGGATAAAAATGAGAACTGATTTAAGAAGGACGTGGAAAATTTCCCAATCTACAAAAATAAGGCGTTCTCTTCTTACAGGAAGCAAATATGTACATACCAAAGCTTCAGCTATATTTCCTTAGACAAACACTGCCTCTCATTTCTGAAATCACAAGAAGGATGCTAGCCCTCTGAATTTCTTTCCAAATTCTTGTTTGAGAAAATAATGTTTAGAAACAGTAACTGCAGATTCTTTACCACTGAACAAAAATAGTCCAGTGCATTAACAATTAAAGCACAAACTCAGACAAAAGGCAGAATGTAATGGACACTATTAGATTCTTTTTTTTGGCAGAGACTATTTTATACACATATAAATTATAAGAGATCTATTAAACAGATCAGGCATCTGGGCCATCCTTTAAGTGCTATGAATTTATGAAATTGGGGCACAACGGTCAGAGGTGAAAGGACACAGTATTAAGACTCCATACATACCGAGGGGACTGTTGCAGCAATAGGGATCATTACTACTGACAACGCTCTAAAGAAATTTGTAGCAAGCTTCTGGAACCTGGAAGCTTCCAGTTTTTGCGAAGCAAAGATCTGAAGGGAAGAAGGGAGAAGCCCACAGTTACAAAAGAAAGTTCTTTTTGAAACAACTAAAATGAGAAAAAAAGGCAACAGCAGAACTTCTGTAAGCCTGTATTCCTGATCACACATTATGTTCATTTTCTCGTTATCCATTTCAGTTAGCACACCGGTAACACCTTTCCCTTGTTTCACATTTGATATTATTAATCCTCTGTAGCAAAAAATTCATATCAAGCTAGCAAAGCACTCTTCCAAATAATTTCAAAGCAATGTATTAAAAAAGCTACTATGGCACATTCAAAATTGCCAACAGCTAGTCCCTGAGCACAGCCCTTCCAGAAGGGGCTACCAACAGGAAGAAGAAACAGTGGCTGGATAACTGAAAGATAACAGAATCAAGTGTGCAGTCACCAATGACTTTTATTCTCATAAGGCAGTTTTAGTCCACGCGTCACAGTCGGCAATGAAGAAATAATGAAATACAGATGATAAATGATTATATTAATGATTAGGCAAAGATAAAAAAGCTAAAAAAAAAGATAAATAAAGGCAAAGATAACTAAAAATTTTTCCATTAAAAAAACGTGGGAAAGTAAAATTATTATTTAAAATGTGTTTGTTTACTCATCTCCCCAACTATCTTCTGAAGTTCTGGATTTCACAATATATTAAGAATAATATTAAATTTGACTACAACGCGCTAACAAAGTATTTCTGGGACGCATTTTCATGCTTTAAAAACAAGGAGCTCATTAAAGCAGCAATTTTTAGGAGCAACTTCAGAGTTAAGACTAAACATCATGGAGGTTCAAGCAAAGCAAATAAAGTTTCTCAGACATGTCACATTAGAATTAATAATCTCCAAACAACACATGCACACAGCATCATTAGGCTATTCTTCATTTCTGATCAATGCATTTAAAGCAGTCACAATATCAAGGACATTACTGTGTTTTATAAGTGAGTAACACTGCCTTAGAATTCTACAATATGTATATGTATCCTTTTGGAATTGTCCTGTTTATTCCACCAACATACCTCCACTATCAGCAAATTCAAGAGTCCAAGTGAAACTGGCATAATCCATGTGGAATCTGGTGCTGTGAGGTCTGTAAACCACAGTGCTCCACCTGTCAAAAACTGTTCTTGAACTGAAACAACAACATAAAGAAGAAAAGGAATTAAGGTTATCTTCTACTCAAGTTCGTCAGAATTGTGCCAAGTATTGCAGTGAAATTATCCAAGTTTCTAGAAGCATCTAATCTACATAATAGATTTTAGTAAAACAAAAATCTTCTATGTGAACACCCACGTGGAAGATTCTGCTAGGAACACCAAGAAAAAATGGTAGAAGACAACCAAAACACAGGTTGGCTTGTGACAGCCACCGATTCAAGTCAGCCAGTGATCAAAATCAAGCAGATCTGAACAACCTTTTCAGGACCCAAAAGGAGAACACGCAGTGTAGGAACATATGGTGACTATTTGTGGATCTGAAGCAATTACATTTTGCTTAACATCATGTTTTTTAGAATACCGAATTGTAACCTGTCCTCTAAAATATCAGAATATCAGGATTGTTACTTAAAAGCCCCAAACTTTCACCTTGTATTTTTTTTTTATGAAACTAAGAAGAAATAAATACAATTAGCAGTGAACATATTAGGAAGTAGCATTACTTCCTAATCTATGTTGTGAGCAGAAAAATCCAGAGTCTTTTTTTTTCTAATAACTGTCTCCAGTAGACCACAACACAATTAAATGCCTGTATGATGTAACAAAATGTTTCACATTGTTCCCAGAGTTCAGATCCTAACGCTGCTTTTAAACAGGCATCCTACAGCTTACAACTCCATTATAAATACTGAGTGCATATAAGCTGAGATCAGCAAAGCTTTTACACAGATCTGGATCCAGTGATCACAAGCTGATCAAAGAAAGGCAAAGGTGTGGCCTGGAAGCAAGCTCCTTGTTTAAACAAACTGTGGTCTACTCTAGATCAACAACACATACATGGTACCTAATCAAAACCTTTAAGATATTGTATATCTTACATTATTATAATTTATTATATATTATTAAATATTATATAAACTTTTATATATTAGTATATATTTATCTATGATTAAACTAGGCTACATTTAAAAACTTAATAGTAGAGTAGCTTATACATCAGACTCAGGAGACCACATTCTTTAACTAAATAAGGACATGTATAAACAGAAATGAAGGGACAAATGACTGTTTTGAGCATATATATTCAAACAGATCACCTTCTGAGTCCAAAGCACCAACACTGCAGTTGCGCAATGCAAGAGACACGCAGACCCACATTGGAATCTGTACCCACACCAATAAAGTGGCTTTGAATGGATGGCAGTTGTCTCGAATGTACAGTTCTGTAATGATCCTCCGCAGGTTCTTCTTAAAATGGAATCTTTTAGAAAAGGCAGAAAACAATACAAAACAAACACCATATTACAATACAACGGCTTCTCAAATTCTAAAGTATCAACTGAAGCATATCAACACGACTCAGGTGCCTCCTCTTCTCTCTCCTTTGCCAGCCCCCTTTCTTTTCAACTCATAGCCCCATTCACTCATCTGAGCAACTTTTCACATCATTGTTAGCTGCTAGCTAACTTGCTAGCTAGCTTGTTCGATGTTTTTGGTGATTTTTGCCTGATCAAGGCTATTGCTTTCCCAACACAGACATCACTGGCCAGTTAAACAGCCTTCAGTAGCCCAGCTAATATCCACTGCTGCTTCATGAGTTTACTGTGCCACACACTAAGGGCCAGGACCGTAGCCTTTCAAGCTGTAAGTCCCTAGCAATGTTCTGATGCTTTTAGATAGTTAAAGAAAACTGCTGACATAAAGACAAAAATGCCTAGATTTGGCCCTGAAATCATAAACCTATCAGAAATTCAGAGCTTTGAAACTGTGATACTGCCTGTTAAGATACATCCAGTGCAAACAAGTCATAAAAGCACTAACACAACCTAAGTCTCCAGCAAAAGCAGAGTCTGTTAGGAGGACCTTCCACCTGGAATGAATTTGTAAGGCATACTCAATCATCATCATCTTACCTGGCAACCTTTTCAGACCAACCCAGTTGCTTTCCACGAACAGAAACTTCATAGCGAAGCTGCTCAGCTAGTTTTTTAATCTCAGGCTGCAAGTTTTCCAACTAGCTAAAGAAAAGGAAATAACGTTTATGACCTGACAAAACAGTTAAATGTAACAGTTAAATGTGCATAAAAAGTTAAACTGCAGCACTTTTGAGTTAGCCACTGAAGAACCGTCTGAGAAACACGCCTGCCTACCAGCCAGACCTTTCCCACCGTTGTCTCACGGGAAGGGCTTTAAAGTAAGAGAGCGGAGATTAGGTTAGACGTTAGGGAGCAATGCTTTGCTGAGAGGACAGCGAGGTCCCGGCACAGGCTGCCCAGAGAGGATGCGGGTGCCCCGTCCCCGGAGGTGCTGAGGGCAGCCTGATCCGCAGCAGGGGGCTGGAACCGGGCGGGCTTTAAGGCCCTTCCAACCTAAACCGCCCTGCGATTACGCGACCCTGCAAATAAACAGCTCAATGACCCCAAATGACACTCGAGCTCTGGCAGCAGTGATCCACGCCCCATAGCCCCTAAGGCCTAGCGAAGAAAGAGCACAGAAAAGCAGAAACGCGCAGCGAGGCGCCGCCGCCGGCGCAGCCCCGTTCCCTGAGCGCGCGGACCCACCTTGGCCAGGAGGCGGCCCTGGTGCGCGGCCAGCGGCAAGGTGACGGCGCTGCGGAGCAGGGCGCCGCCGCACACAATGGCGGCCCACCACGGGAGCCCCGCGGCCGCCTGCAGTGCCACCAGCCCATCTTCCGCCCAGTGCACGGGGACCGACTGCGCCAGCCACTCGTACCAACCGCCGGGGCTCCCGCTCGGTTGCGGAGACCCCGCGGCGACCGTCAACCGAGCGACGGCCGCGCCGCCCAACTGCCAGCTCGAGCCGCTCCGCCTCAGCGACCGCGCGAGCCGCCACATGCCTCACGGTCACGGCACGCGCAGCTCCCGCCGCGCAGCTCCCGCCTTCGCGCATGCGCCAGAGGACGCAGGCAGCGCTTCGCCGGCGCCATGTTGGGTGCGGGCAAGGGAAGGGCAGATGGCTGGGCGACGGCCGGCCCTACGTCCCTGCGAGCAGCTGGAAAGCGCACTGGGTAGCCAACTCCATCAACTTACCTCTTTCCTGAGCCCTGTTTACACAGTTCCACTAGTTAACAGTGGTTTTGTTCTTTAAAAAAATAATAAAGACCTGCCAGGTCTCAAAAGAGTACGTTCCTTTTTTTATTGGTCAAATAAAATGCAGTACAGTTGAAATATAAAAAAAAATGTATTTGAAAGAAAATGCTCCTAGTACAGACTTCCACAGACCCCAGAATTTTGTTTAGCAAGCCCCTTGCCACAGGTGTAGCATCGAGCCTGAGCTCCCCTGGCCAACAGTTGGAATTTTCAAGTCAACAAAATAACACGTTAAGAAACCACATCCTAAAACTCTGTTCTTTCGACCCATGGAATACACTGCTGTAATAAGTGGCGAGTGGTACTGGTTAGAAGGATTATTTCAGAATAAGAATGCAAAGAATCCTAGTTAGCACTGAAGCATTAAACAAGATACTAAAAGAGGGCTTGAGGCCACAGAGAAGACCTGAATGGCACTATTCTTCACTCATAATAAGGTGCTAAAATGGAATTGTAACCATCTTTCATAGCAGTTCTACAGTTTGGTACCCATTTTGATATAACCTGTTCTTTAGACACCGTATGCCAGGTAATTAGCTGGAAAAATGAACTTGCTTACTTAGCACATCACATAAGGGCGCATATAGGGACATCAGTACATGCAAAACTTGGGTTTTCTTTTCTCAGAAATTGCAGAATTTTTAAAAGGCAGCAGGTTTCTTTGGAAAAGTATTTTTCTTCCCTCTGACTAACTAACAATTACCGTAACAAATACAAAATAACACTTCAAAAAGTCCTGCCTGAGAAGCAGGCCATATAACTAAGTCAGTGTTTCTTCCAGGGAGTTGAATTCAAGTGACGCAGAGCAAGAGAGAGAACAAGTTTCCATTCAGCCATCACCCACACAGAATAACTAGTAACAGATCATGGTGGACCACACCATCTGGCACAAAACCACACTCAACTTGTAAATATACTTTAAGCCACACATACACAAACCATACGGGAATTTGACTCAAGCTTTGCATATCACTGCCTTGCTGTACAGGACCCAAGAATTTGTTTCCTGGTATTAATGTTCGTTCTGTAAGTGAAGAAATAAGGAATTATTCATTGGACTTCTCAAGACAAACCTTAACTGGTCAACAATCCAGTTCAGAACAAGACACTATACTACAACAAAGCCACTTATTCTGAAATAAGCCTTCACTTGGAGCCAGTTTTCATCAGTGAAGCTCTACTGTAACAGCAAGTTAATATTCTTGCTCTTGAAGTAACACATACAGAGTATGTATCTCTTGAAATGACTTTTGCAGGCAAAAGAAGGAACTGGAGGAACAGAAACTCTGAGAACACTCAAGGAACAGAAGTAGAGACCTAGCTGCATGAACCCAACGATAAGTTTTCAAGAGACGGTGCAGTGTGACACATTCACCTTCTTTACCGGGCAACTCTTAATGTGCCGAACTTCTGTTTTCTCAAGCACTTTAGTCTGAAAAGCTTTCCACATAAGAAATTTGTTAACTCTTAATATCTGGTTACAACTGATGTACACCTTCTCAAAAAAAATCCAACACACATTTGGAAAAAACCCTCTGATAATGCCCAGTTTTTTACACTGTACTTAAATTACACAAGTAGAAAAGTTATGCTTATTAATAGTTTAATGTATGAAGGAAACATCCAGATTTCTGAATATGAAGGTACATATCTCACATTAATTTAAGTCTACATAAAGTAGAGCCTCTATACTGACATATTGAAATTTACTTTCTGCTTAGCCATTTGTTATGTAAACAATTGTACATTTATTTGCCATTCTAAAACTTCAGGATCAAGTTTACATAATTTTGCTAAATTTCTGTGTTTGCTCAGAAGCAGTTTACAGTACTAAAACCAACCAGCCAAAGAACAGCTTCAACAGAAAGTTATGTCAAAAAAAAAAAAAAAAAGGAAAGAATAAAGGCTAACTAAGTTGAAACGTATGATGGTGGGGAATGGGCAGTCACAATGTTCACAGAAAAAGGTCAGTTAGTAAGTTCTTCTGCAAAAAGCCTACACACTTCAGTCAAGCACATCAGTAGAATGATCTGGGAGCACATAAACTGTTTCTGCCATTTTTATTTTCCTCTGGAAAAAGGAATCTCAAGTCTAGCACGTTGATCCCACTCAGCCAAGTTGGTTCATATGCACACTGTTCATGTGAGGTGTCCAAGTTCCAGTCCACACCTGAAAGAGATAGCTTAACTTAGTACCATGTATGAAGAGTTTCAACACAAAGTATTTCGGAAATCAAAACTACATTGCAGTGCTTATTTTCCACCACACTGAAGTGAATTACAACATCAAAAAACATAGCAATCAGTCACCAATAAGCTACACGGATTTATTTTCATCATGTTTTTCACTGCTGCAGCTCAGATGAGAGCTCTAGCTTTCAGAGTGAAAGGCTATCCTTCCTCTTTACCTCATAAAAGTTCAGAAGACTGAGAAATTGAATCTGTCACCTTCAAATGTTTTCTCCCAAAATATACCAATAAGCTAAACTCCAGGAAAACTCAAGTGTAACAAAGTAGAGCCATTTCTTGAGGACCAACAGTTGGCTGTATTTTGCCCATGTATCTGTCAGTATGATAGATATCAATGTATAATTAAGAATAAACATGGAATTCAGCGTATAAACGACCAACAATAAGGTCTTGCCTACAACACAAAGAAGCTTATCTGCTGTAATTAATCAGGAGCCTACTCCAACTGAATAGACTCAGCTGGAACCAAACATCCTAATTCTCAAGTACACTTCTTTAAACTGCATTAACTTACTGATGCTGTTTTTTATATTAATTTTGGATAGACAACTAATGTTTATAGATTGTCTGTATGTCTGTACTGTGGGGAGAAGTAGAAAGGAATAAGAAAAAAACCTTAAGAAACAAGCAAAAAGAAGAGACTTTTTTTTTAAACTTTCTACCAGCTAGGATCTTGTATCTTCACCACATGGTTTCTTAAGCTAGAACAAAACTGCAAACATAAGAATAAAAGACATTACCGTCTGAGGCCCGTTATTTTCTGTGGAATTTGAAACCATCTTTATTAGAGAGTTCCAAGATGGGTCAGCAGCATGAGGCCCATTAAATATTGGGCCCCCAGTACCATCTGTGATGGGGGCTACTGGAGGAATCATTGCATTCCCATACACAGAGAAAGGCATACCCTTATGAAAGAGGAAAAAAACCAAGCATCAGTATATGTACTCATGAACACTGCTCCTATTAAACATACAAAATGGGACTCAATATTAAAAGACATTCTGTCTTGAAGTAGTAAGAAGCAGCTTTAATTTAGGAATAATCTTCATTAAATCATGGGCATGATATTTTGCTAGTTCTAGGCTTCTGCAGTACTGCTCACAGATGCTGAGCTGCACAGCAAGCAGTATCTCATGTTCTCTATCTGCAAGACACACAGATGTAGAAAAATCAAGCGGTACAGCACATATAAAGTACAAGAGGATCATTACCCCAACTTTTGGGAAGTCCATGTATCCTGCAGGAACGGGCTGATGGAATGTACCAGAAGGCGTTATGATTCCCGTGCTGTCTCTTTCCATGGCTTGGTGTGAAAACACACCTGGATCAGACATGGGCCTGTGGATCATGTGGCTCCCCATTCCACTATGACACCAGTCCACTTTATCTAACAATAGACCAACACAGAAACAACATTATAACATCCACTGATAATGTTTACCAGTACTAATGTTCGCACACTGTAACATTGATAGAAGTGACATTTGCTCAGTTTACAGTTCCCATGCACCCCCCTGCATAGAACTTCATTCCAACTTAGAACATAGAACTTTGTTATCATTCTTTCACAACTTTGTTTCCCACCATGAACTCAGGCAGAAGTTCTTATGATAAGCAAAAGCATAGAATGACCACCTATACATGTCTGCTAATGTTCTAACCACTTGAATTCATTAGAGGCAACTTAGTACTATTAGTACATGTCTCAGACATCTAGAAAGTCAGTATTTTTCAAAACCATAGCAATATTTCTGAAACTAATTCTCAGTAAGAGTCAGTTCCATTCTAAGCTGAAAACCAAACACTGAAGTTACCTTACGAAGTAAAAATAAAGTAACATTACAAAAGCAAAGCAAAGAGACAAAGGGAAACTGCTGCAATTTGAGGATGCAAGTAAAAATGTTCAATTCCAGAAGTCTTAATGATGGCTAGCATATCACTACAGAGATGAGGCAAATATTAAAGAAATAAAGCTCTGGATAAGCCCTATTATGCACTTAAGGAAAAAACAAGAGGAACGTTCACTGTCACCCTACCAAAACACTAAGAGATGTTTTGACTGCTCAGTTAAACAGTGGAACAGGTTGTTCAGAGTTTTTTTTTTGTTGTTGTTTTTGTTTTTTTACCCTAGGAGGTTTCCAAGATGAGACTGAATAAAGGCCTGAATAACCCAGTATGACCTCACAGCAAATCCAGTTTAGTGCAGATGTTTGAGATGAATTCCAGAGGTTCCATCGGCATGATCTTATCCCAAATGAGGGAAAAGGAATAATGAGGGGAAAAAATAATCCAAAAAAAAAAACCAACCGAAAAACAGAACAATCTCATAAATTGCATCTAAGAGTCCTATTTGCGGAGAAAACCTGTCCCAACTGTTATTCAAAATTTGCATTAATTCTGAAATACTGAATTCCATGAGCTTGCAGTACAATCTTATGTCAGTAAAAGGCAAATGGTGTGATTAGACAAAATAAGGAACACATACTTTCATCTGCCCCTCTTCCTTAAACAATTGAATCCTCCTATCAGCTCATCCCTGTACAACACAGTCTTACCTCTTTTGTTATGTCTATCTTTGAGTAAAAAGCCTTCACAGCCAGGGTGTTTCAAAACAAGAACATTTACTGTGACCTTGACAGAGCAAATGGATTGTATAGCAAATACAAATTCTTACTCAACTCCCATCCTTGAGACACTTCTGCATCATTTTTCAGCTCCAAAAGAAGCATAAAAAAAGACAGCATTGGCATAAACTGGAAGTGCATGGATTTTTGTTTACATTACATACCTTGATTGCCACCTATACCTTCAAAGGACCAGATACCACTATGTCCCACTGGAGCAGCTAAGTTGCTCCCAATAACAGATGGAGTAGAAGTTCCAGTTTGTCTAATACGTGCAGACCGTTCAGTCCCAATCGGAACAGGAACTTTTCTGTCCTGAGAAACATTACTGGATTTTTCTGATCCCAAGGACACTGCTGAGGGGGTGGGAGACTGTGTTCTTACTCCAGAAGACACCGACTGAGCAGGAGATTCTACAGAAAAGCAGTAAGTATATTTAATAACAGCCAGACCCTCACCCCCATCACTACACACCTATCCTTTAATGGCAAAGTACACATCAAAAATGCAAATGGATAGCTTATCAGCACTATGTTCATACAGCAGATAGTTCAACATAATTTTAACAGTTTTACCAACGTATCACAGAGACTTTCATCATCCAACTCTTACACAAAATGACTACTATCCTATCCTATTAGCCCTATCAGAGAGTAGACATGCAGTGCAACAGACTGTTCAAAATTTAAACTAACCATTATTGTACATCAACAAAAGAGGATTTGAGGATTATATTCAAAAGCATAGCTGCAATTTGCTGTGTTTCTATTTGTTTGTTTTTAATCTTGAGATGCTGATTGTTGTGTTTTTTTTACTTTTATATTCTCTACTAAAACAGATTAACTTGTTCCCCAAATAAGTCAGCATTCAATAGAATTTTTTTCTGCCCAAGAACTCTGCTGCATAAGCAGATGTGGAAGAAGGTACCAGACCTTGCCATAAGCAGCCTCCCTTGAAATACATTATACAGTTTTGTTTTAGCAACATCAAAAATATCCGCTTATCTGCAGAACTGGCTTTAGTAAAATAACATTACAGGATTTACACTACTTACACTTCAAATAATACCCTCACGACATTATCACATACATTAGCATTCCAGGGTTATTGGCAACAAGAATAAGCAACTTCAATAGCATGAGAAAAATCACAGCTGCTAAAAAAAGCCTTCCTAAAATAGAAGTATTAATAGGTAGTAGTAACAGGTAACACAAGGCTGCCTTTTTTTTTGTTTGTTTTAAATACAATAGCTTCTCAACTGCTTCCAACTGAGTAGAACTCACCATTCGATGCTGATGAACAAGGAGGCAATAAACTAAGTGGGGAAAAATGCTGTCTGTTAAAATTAGCAGCTGCAGGTGCTCCACCAAGAGGTGCCCCAGGTGCATATATCTGACCTCCCGAAAGGTTTGAGGCAAAGTTACCCAGGTGTGTAGACGAAGGTGTTACAGGAGCATAGGGTGAATCCATACTGACAATACCTAAAAGAGAAATTAGCAGAAGCAACTTCCATTATTGTCAGATAAAACGATCTCATATTTAAGGGAAAAAGGAAAACTTATATCCAACCAGTCATGATTTTCTCATATTATTTTCAAGATAATCGGAAGTCTTAAGCTCCGTGCTTTGTAAGTCCTGACAATAAGCAACCAGCAATTCTGCAGGACATGCATCACAAATTATTCATGTTATCATACAAATACTTTAAAAGGGAATAAATATAAATTAAGGAACAGAATGCATGTCCTGGTATAGACGACATCAGAAAGATAACTAATCATTTTACTGCAACTTCAATTTTGTACGTTTAGAAACCAGGATTTTATACAGGGGAAAACTGAAAAAATACTGAAAATTTGAAGGTTTATCATACACATTCTATCTTGCTAGAAAACAAAAATATGTATATATACACATCTTTTATATACATTAAGACTGAAGTGCTGTTTTTCAAACTCAGGAATACGTTTTCACTTGGAAAAGAACGACAAGATGACCAAGTGGCAGCAATTCTACAAGAGCCCTTTCTCACTGAGGTATCCAGATTATAGATATTATTTACCCCTTGATATTCTCCTCAAAGAAGACATGCAAAATCAATCTAAAATTTTAGGATTCAAACAGCATTAAGAAAGATTAATGCTCAACTGCTGTGGTACCTCAATATTATTCTTATTTACAAAACTATTTAAAAATTATTTTTAGTCATACAGTGAATGACTTCCTCTAGCTAATGGCAGAAACACAGAATAGTTCAGTATCAGCCTCCTTTGCACCATCCTTTATGAAGGCCCAATTTCTTTTTTCAGACAGGTTCTTTAGGCTTTGAGGGGCTATTTTCTTATTAACTAACATGACACTTCCTGACACTGTAGACACTTCCAGCTTCACCTACTGCATCTGCAGGCTTCAGAAACTGCACAGATTATGGTATAACTGTGGTTAGAACACACCTCAGGAACTATTTAACAACATGATATTTACAAAGTCTGGAAAACTAGCTGTTAAATTTCTCGATTCATGAATTAAGCTGCATTGCCAACAGAGAATTCTAGTAAAACAAGCACAGATGGTAAGAACTGCATGATATGTACTTTCTGGGAGCTACAGAACAAATTTGTGACAACCTCTGCTTCTATTTGTGCAGAAGGCTAAAAATCTTTGTACACTATTCAGCAAGTCCATATAATTAGTTTTCTTGTTTTAATTGAATTTAGTATTTGAGATACACCTCTCATTAAGTCCACATTAAAACTCAGATATTTTTATCCTAACACTTTGAAGAGGGTATACATTTTTCTGCAGTCTAAGAAGTAGTTATCAAAAACTGGAATAGGTATTAGCTTGTGGTACAGAAGTGGAAACAGTAGTACAATGCTTTGTTACCTCAGCTATAGCAATACAGTGGAATGGCAAAAAGAATACAGCTTCACTTCTATCAAGCTCATCAGCTGCTAATAGGTATGGATTTGACAGGGGTCACTTGAAGATGAACTTACAGAAACAAGAATGATAAATACTGTTAGAGCACGCTTTCATTGCAGGGCAGACATTACTATGACTGATCACAAAAGCTGAGGGAGAAGATAGTTAAGCCTTCAAAACAAGAACATGCAGTATTTATTAGCAGAAAATTACCATGTATAGCAAGTCAGACTTACCTGAGGGACTTGGAGCTGGCCTCTGTAACGGGGGCCTAAAACCTGGGGCTTTGGAAGTATCAGACTGGTGTAAAGGCTCTGAATTTGGCAAAAATGAAGACTTTCCTGATAGCATAGACTCTGGTGTTGTCTGAGATGAAACGACAGAACCACCCCAGAAGGCATGAGCAGACGTAGGATTGTTTTCAAACAGTGTGCTGAAGGGCCCAAATGGTAAAGTAGCACTGAAATTGTTACCCATGGACTTGTTTGCAGGATGGGCTGAATTCTGAGAAGCACTTTGTGTACTTAAGGTAGAAGGAAGCTGCACTGAAGAAGGAACGCTGGGGGGCCTTTTGATATGATTAACATTGAGGACTGCAACGGAAGAATTTTGCACAGGAGCTGGATTCTTATGGACGCTGCCAGTTCCGTGGACAGGCGGTCTGATGGCAGGGGTTTCCATCTTAGCTGCAGGCTGAGAAGACCCCATTGATGTCTGAGACATGGGATAGGTCATTGGGGCATTTGTTGGACCCGCCACAGGAGCAGATGAGCTTGTCACTGCTAAATTTGGAGGCACAACCATTCGAGGATCTGGTGCAGGAACCTGAGGTTGCTGAAGAGGGGGTCTTGCCTCTTGCAGAGGAGCTCCCGGAGGCTGCTGATGAGCAGGGTGCACAGAAGAACTCCCAGAACCTGTACTGGGCTGCCTAGTGCTGGTCGAGCTGCTCGTTTCTACTGCTGGCGGACTACCCACTTCCTGATCAGATGAAGGTGCACCTTTATTTGGAGAGGTTGCTGCACAGTCTGAAGGACTGCTTCTAGAAACTCCTGCTGGCTGTGCCGGAGGAGAAGGCGATGATGGGGAAGATGCAGGGTAGTGTTCTTTGGCAGTAGAAATTGGATATGTGGCATTCGTAGCCGCTGTGCTGGTGTTACTTGCTGTGGTCGTCACCGTGGTTGTCGTGGCATTTGACGTCTTCACAACAGTAACAAAAAGCTGCCTTCTGACTGAAGGTGAACTTGGACTGCCATTTGCAGAAGAACCAGGCACAGTAGAAGCCACTGAACTTGTTGTAGCTGTTGGACTAGTTGTCAAAGAACTTGCTGAATTCACCTGAGAACCACTGCTGTTCTGACTGTTATGGCGAGGCACCATGTGAGGTTTAGGCGAATTGGTAGCTCTTGCAGGGCTCAATGGCCTAACAGGAAACGGACCCCATGTGGACTGAGCTGGTGGGAAAGTACCTCCAAAGTGCGTCATGGGCAACCGAGGCGGACGGATTTGCTGGAAAGTCTGAGCAGCGAGTAAAGCATGTGCAAACTGCGGAGGAGGATATGCTAATGGAAGAGAGACTTGGAAACCAGGTCGCACATTATTCACTGGATTCTTAATGGTTTTGTGATTAGATGCTGAAGAAATTGCAGGCACAGTGAGTGCAGAGGCAGTTTGAGATGTTGATGAAGCAGCTACTGTGGTCACTTTGATTCCCACAAGAGAACTGTTAGCAGCTGTAGTGGTGGCAGGTGTTGATGACCCTATTTTGGAGTTTGCAGATGAACTTTTCAAGCGGTTCTTTGGAATAAGCTCATCAATTTCTTTATCTGGATCTTTAATCAGAGCATTAATCAACTGTGTGGCCTGTCTTGTTGATTCTGTGCCACCCCTGAAAAACAAGAGGAGAGGAAAAGGAAAGTGAATTTTGAACATCTATACACAATGAAGTACCTCAAGAACAGGATCCAGCCAACCTTTTTGTCATGCTAACAGATAGCAAAAAAGAAAAAAAAAGAGGAGAGAGGCTGCCTTTCTTTTTTGTTGCTGATGGTTATTTAAGAAACTAAAATTGAGTACTCTAACCCAAAGAACACTGTCTAGTTAGAAGACTTAACTGTCCAAATAATGGGTGGATTTAGAGATGTAAAATCAAATGGATTTACATGTTCCCTATCTTGCCTTCAAAGTCTCTTGTACAAATGCAAAGGTACAAGATTTGCAGTTAATCTCTGTTTCTGCTACCTCATTTGTCTCCCCTGTCCAGAAGCAGCATCTGCATCTTTCAAGGAACAATCCATGTTGAACAGATTCATCTAAACAGATAAGCATGTTTTGCAACAAAAAAATTCCTCACAGGAATGACCAAATAGAATGGTCAGCTTACCTTATTGTTATTATTCTATCTCCAGTTTTGTCCTTCTGTTTGTCAATGTCTATGTGTGCTCCCGTGCATTCACGTATAGCATTGATATTACATCCTCCTCTGCCAATGACTCTGGAAATGACAGTTGATGGAACAGAAACCTTCTTGGATCTATAGAAAAAAAGAAACCACCTTAGCTGAGAAATGCTTCAAATGGCATGAAGTAATGGGCAGATTAGCCAAAAAGAAGGCAAGGAAGAAATTAGGGAAAAGTTTAGCTTACCTTCTTACAACTTCCTTCCATCCTTCTTCCCTTTTTTGACCACGTTTAGGGCTAGCAATGGTAAGCTTTCCATTTGGAGAAGAAAGGGGGGAAGGACCAGATTTTGTGCAAGTAGACAAGGAATTACTTGTCACTTCACTGATGACTTCAGACAACCTTTAAAAGAAATTAATTTCTATTAAAATGCAGACTAACAATGAAAACCTGAAGAATGACTTCCACTAGGCCCAGTCTGAAGCCTGTCAAACTATTTTCTCTTCTAGCACATCAAACAAACAAAAAATCAAAACATACAAGACACGTTAATAACAACATGGAGTTAAAATTAAGTTATTATCACACCTCTGGTCCCCAAAAACCTTTCAGTAAAATGTCACCTGTGGTGTTAGCAGATCACCCACTACAAAACAGCAACTGCTTATGAAGGCTAAAACGGTATTTGTATTCCAAGAGCTGGAATTGACAAGGAAGAAATTCCTACTACTCAAGATACCTTCCATCAAAACAGCATGGTGCAGTGAACTGCAAGTTCTCCATGTTAAGACCTTGCGTTCTCACAGTACCCATACAGAGAATGAAATGGTACACCGTGGCCGGGAATAAGTACTTCTCACTAGCAGTTAAAAATCTTGAGCATATCTAATTTGTATATCCAAACCGGTTTGTGTTCCAGAGCTAGCAAAGCTCTCTACTTAGTTCTGTTAATTTTACTAATAAAGTTGCAGCTCTTAAAAAGGCAGGAGAGTATTTCCAGTCTGTCTTCAGCTCAAATCTTTTTAAGTGAAACCCTGAGCAGCCTTGGGCAAGACAGCACAAAGCAAAATAACTACCAACAAAGCTCAGAAGCACTACACTGAGAGTTGGCATGAATTGAAATGTCTGCATTTTTGAATAACCTAACAATTCTCTACATTTCAGATCCATGACAATGAGTCTTGATTCAGAATCTACTACTCAGTTCATGTTAAATTTCAGTAATTATTATACACGCCTTTATTACTCCTCACACACCACTACGGCTTCACCCACTTCCTAACAACTGATTTAAAGACACAGGTCTATGCAGATAATAGTTCCCAAATGTAGTGCAACAACTGCTTTATATAGGCATATGGTGTCACTTACTTTATGGATGATTTGCCAGTAACTGTTTTCCTCTCATCCTTCGGACAAGTAACAAGAACCGATGGCTGCTTTTTGTTGCTCTGTGTGTTAGTAACGGCTGTGGAAGAATGATTGTCACTTTTGTGGCTGCTGTTGCTATTGCTGCTTTCGTCACTACAGCTAGAAATCCTCATGTTGTCACTATCACCACTTTCACTAGTACTGCTGCTCTTAGATTCACCATTTACTTTTTCTGGTTGGTTATAAGAAATTGGGAGCTGGTCATCAAATATGATCTGAACATTATCAGGGGATACTTTGTTTTTCCTGTTTTTCCTTTTGGAGCTTGTTGTGGTGATGGTATTATTCCTTTTCCCATGAGAACCTGCTAAAGTTGTCCAAGTTGCAGATATACCTATGGTGGTTGTAGTGGTAGCACTAGGAGGCTCCATTGGGACCTCTGGATCATCTGGTGGAAGAATAAAAAACAGTATGAATTTAGCTAGTTCAAGAAACCTTGTATGGTTTTGTGCTCCAAATAACACTTTTCAAGTTAAATGTTATACAAACAACTTCAAAAGACTCCAAGAATCAAGCAGAATCTCTAACAAAGCTGGTATCTGTACAACTACTAAACATGTCACATCATTGAGCTTCTTGCCTTGTTTATTGTAACTTATCTAGCATTTCATTCCAATCTTGGAATAAACACAGCAGAAATTCATTAAGTGTGAAACTAAATTCAAGCATGAAAAGACAGAAACAAAAGCAATTACTGGAATAACAAGTATATGAAGCTTATCAGCACAACCTAACAGTCAGTGAAGACCATTTCTTAGCGCACCACAGAAGATGCAGCTCAACACCACACAATATTTGGATAGACAGGACAACAACAGGACAACATATTTAGTATTTTGTGGTTGCCAGTGTTGTTTTTTTTTTTTTTTACTGGATCAAGATTATAATTCTGTTTGTGAGCCAAAAAAAATTGGCCAGGTTTTCAGTTTTGTAGGACCTGGAAGTAAAAACATGTGAAAACATTTCCTATGTCAAGTTAACCTGAACTCTCACTGAACCTGCTGTCAGCAATCCTGAGCCATAAAAAGATGCAGAAGTGACAGTAAGAAAGGTAAACCACTGAAAGCTCAGCAGGTCAGAAAAGATGACTGTACTCAAGTTTTGACAAGAAAAGCCACTGGAAGACTGGAAATAAAAACTCATCAGTATGCTTCACAAATAAGGCAAGTGGTTGAAATCACCTTCAGCTTTTAGCTTCTCTTTCTCTTGAGCAGCTTGAAGTTCAAAATTCTCTTTACTTTTTGCTTCAATTTCTTCTAATTTTCTTCTTTGTTCTTCTTTTTTCTTCCTCCGTTTTTCCTTTCTTTTCTCTCTTTTAGCAGCCAAAGCCAATCTCCTACTTTCTTCCCGTAGCTAAAATTAAAGCACATTACAATATGTGTTCCATGCATTTCAAAAAAAGCAAATGCTTTCCATTTCCTGAGAAGCAGAACTTGCATTTTAGACTAACACATTTACGAAGTGAGCTAAATTCTGTGAGCTATATTTTCACATTTACTTCTTCCAAACAGACTGTTTACCCATGTTAACAGAAAGTTGATGTAGAAATAGAGATCACCATCTTAAATGAATTTTCCAGAACGTGTCTTCAGGATTCTAAGACTACCATGTTTGTCTTAGCTGTACTGCCCCAACACACTCATTTCCCTTTCAAAGGATGTGCCACATTTTTAGCTAGGCTGGATATACAATGTGCACTCATTTGATGCTACACTTCTTAGTGTTTTTTTTTAAATAACATCTCTTCTACAACACTATGGTTTCAAGGAATATTATCCACATATTTTGTTTTATTTAAGACACAAAATGGGATTTAGACCTCCAATCCATACCAAGATGACTGCAAAATGCTCACCTATTGTGTACTGAACAAGAAAAAAAAAGTACTTCAAAATCCTTTTATGGATTTTACAAAGAGGAAATATAGTTATATCAGAGTATCTTAACCCAGTTTCTCTTAGTAAAAGTCAGAACTGAAGGTACAAAGGTAACTTGAACCACCAGATGTTTAGCTCTAGATGCTCCAACTATATTGATTTCACATACTCCAGTACGGACATTCACAGATCTTCTGGTCATGAAGGAATGTGAAGCTGTAATCTTATCAAATAAATATTCCCAGCTCCAAACCCTTAACTTGCCTTCTCCAAGTCCAATTCCTCTAAAAGAATGCTTGCATTTTTGTTGGCTTCAGCAGCCTGTCTATCTTTGGCTTGAACAATTGATTCCATACATAAGTGGCACTTCTTCAGCATCTCCTAAAATAACAAAGTACATCAACATTCCATTTTAAAAAGTAAAAGTGCATGTTTAGAAACTACACTCTCAAGCTTACAGTACTAATTTACTGATTTTCTTACTTGGAAAGAAGATTTAATGGAGGAAAAAAAAGAATATTTTCCATTACTTCCAGTGCAATATTATTACAAAACATCCATAATTATACCAAGTTAATCTCTCATTGGCAAATAAGCTGCAAAAATTTTATTTACTGATTTTGAGTCATGAGTAGTAAGTTACATGGCACCATCACAGATGAAATTCTCCTTCCATTCCTGATCCCAAGTGCAAATTGTTATCAATGCAACCCTTCACTGCAGCTTGAAATTTCCTTTTCATGCCCAACTTTGCAAACTGATGTCCAATTAACAAGTAGAACATGAAGTCAATAATTACTATCTCAGCATGCTTAAAGTGGTACAAAGACAGTTCATAACCTATGCCTGTTAAAGACAAAGCGTTTATGAAACCAAAGGAGAAATAGTGTGAGAAGTGAAAGAATTGCACAAATTAAAAGGCCATCACAAAACAATGCTTAGCTCCCCACTCTCTCCCTGAAACAGCTGGGAAATATTTTAACATTCTATTATGATAATAATTATAGACCTGTACTAATTGCACAACAGCAATTACTTTTACTGGGTGTTAGCTTCATGCAAGTGACCAGTGGTCACAGCCACTGGCAATAACATACATACCAATGACAGGGAGAATACTTGAAAACAGACATGCATAATAAGTAGTGTTGTCATACCACGAAGGTTTATGAAGTTACACAGGCTGTGTGCTCCCATTCCACTTTTTTTTTCTGAAAACTTCCAAATGGACTCATCATTTGGCTGAAATCCAGCGTGTCAACAAAATAGTATTTGAAACATCTACTCTAAAGTTGAGTCACAGTACTGTTTCTTCTGAAACGTTCTCTTCCAATCTTACCTTATCAGTAATGGTTGCTATGTATCTCATACATTCCGAATCCGATGGAAACTGGTTTACTTCTTTTACTAGGTAGCGAACCACTTTTACATGACCCTGTAAGAAGGAATAGACAAGCATTTCAAGTACCTGTTATCAAGCTGGCTTTCTAGCCTTATTTTCATATACTTCCATATTTTCCTTTTGTCAGTTTTCAAACATCTGGCTCTGGCTACTTACAGTTGTAAGAACAGTCATTAGCAATTTTTAATTACTACTGAACTTGAACTACACTCAATTATCTCAAGTCAAGCTGGGCTAATTCAAAGTTGATTTTTAAAATGCTCATCCTCTTTTAAATAAGAATTCATTTTTTAAATCGTTTTTTACTTCCATTGCATATTCTGCATCTCCATACAAATACATTAATTTTCTGTTCTCAGATCCATGAAAATCAGACTCAGTAAAACCATAAAGAGAATTTCTACTAGAATTTAACACATCATGCAGGTGACATGCACACCTATTTTTGAAGATTCAACACCAAGTACTACAAGTAGGTCACATCTTTAAAGACGCAGCTTATCAGTTATTTTCCGTTTATTCCTACTACGTATGGATGATTGAGACAACATTAATCAAAACCAAAGAAACTTCATATTCTACCTTTCGGAAGGCTGCCATAAGAGGAGTTATTTTCCTGTTATCAGCAGCATCAACATCTGCTCCAGCCTGAACTAGCAATTGGACAACATCTAGATGTCCTCCATTTGCTGCCAGCCACAGTGGAGTATTCCCCTTCTTATTACGCACATCAATGTGGGCTCCTCTACAAAAACAAACGTTCAGTCAAAACAATGGAGAAGATTGTAGTTACTTATGTCAACAGGACTTGCAAAGGTTCATGCAATGCCTAAGAAAAAATAGGCTAATTCAGCACTCATTTTTACATAAAACATGCATTCACAGAGAGCTTTAATTTCAGAAATATTTTTAGATTCTCTGATGCTGTGAAAAGCCTACACTCAGACTAAACGTATTTTTAATACTCTGACTCATACTGTTTGTCAGTTGGGTTTGAAGCATTGCTAATTACCTCATTAACTTCCACCCATTAGTACACTGTATTCCTCAATAGCTTACTGAGAACAACTTGTAAAGTTGCGAGTGCAAGCCAAGTGCCACTACTTGGAAAGAGACTTATCCAAAAGCTGTTCAAGAAACAATTATGCTGAGCATATTTGGTGATCAATCTCAAACGGATAAAATCGTTAAGACTTGCACTTTGTGTGCATCTTCTGCTTTTCAATGACTTAACACTGACAGTTAAACTGAAGGCTTCAGGGATGCAACTACAAGAAATATCACCTTCACACAAAACATTTCCAACGTTCACAAGTTCATAATACAAGAAAAGTTCTGTCAGTCCACACACGTAAAAGCAAGTACTTGAACACCAAACACAACTTACACTCTCACTAAACAGAAAACATAATTATTAATGTTTAGTACTAACAGAAATCTTTCCATTCCCTATCACATAGTGTACACTGCAACACAGAGAATAGAGATTGTTTCCTTTAAGCAGCGCACTTAGAAAAATACAGTACCTGCTAATAAGAAGTTCACAGAATTTGTAGTGCCCTTTGTCTGCTGCAATGGTTAAAGCTGTGTCTCTTGAGGAAGGTACCGGAGGAGCATTTACATCCGCACCTTTGTCCAGCAGAACTCTGCCTACTTCTGCATATCCACCAGAAGCAGCTTCCATTAATGGCGTGAGACCAGTCTACGATAAACATGCAAGAAAATCAAGCAACTTGTGTGAAAGAACTGGAAGGTGGGTTCACTTAAGAGCCAGGACTGATTTCTACGTCCAGCAGCATATTTCAAGTTCTGCTATACAGCCCCTCCTACCTGACCAGTTTTGCAATAAACTACCAATATTTCAAAGGAGAGAAAATGTACACTTGTACAGAAAAGGAGGCACAACAATACATAGGTGTCCTACTGCTGTGCAGTGTTCAGGAAGGTTCTTTGCCTGCTGATGTCACAGCATCTCAGAAATAGCAGTTAACCTTATACAGTTGATGATCAGCGTAAGTATTGGTTAAGAAAAAAAAACAACACACTTTTGTTTTTAATCTTCATTAAGAGATGCTACACAGCAACATCCGGAAAGTGCCCAGCTAAGTGAAGGGGGACACATTAACTTCCGACAGACATTCAAAATTCCACATTTCCTTTCAGCTCTATGTTACCACCATGGATAGAAGCAGTTAGACAAGGAGATCAGACCTTAAGTACAACCTAGATCAAGAATGTGACTTTCTAAATTCATTAAATACTTGCATTTTTTCAAGTTAATGGATCACTGTTCTTGTAAACACCTGAAAATTAAGTAAAGCTTCAGAAGAATTGCTTTTCTTTCAATGATTCGTATATCTGTATAAATGCTAGCTCCTGAAGTACAACCACTGTTTTTACGTTCTCTTTTTCTAGACAGTATCAGAAACTTGAAATTGCTCTGTAGAACACATCACCTTTGGTCATCCAATTAACTTCCAAGGGGCATGTACAGAAGGACAATAAAGCCATCAAATGATGACAAGTCACAACTTGCAAGCATCTCTTTTTTTGGAGAGCAATTTGCTTCTTACCTTAGCTCTATGTTCCACATTTGCTTTTCTATCAAGGAGCAGGCTAACCACTTCAGTTCTCCCTTGGAAACAAGCCAGAGTTAGTGCTGTATTCCTGTTGGTCTCTATCTGGGCATTTATATCAGAGCCCATGTCCAGTAATAACTTCACAGCAGCAGTGTGGCCATTCATGGCTGCCAACATTAAGGGAGAAATGCCCAATTTGCTACCAGTTCTGAAAGAAGAAACAATAAAGGAGTTTAAATCGCAATCACATTTCTAAGATGACTTCAACAAAAACAGAGAAAATAGAGTTTTTAACAAGAATGGAAGTCAGCAACACAGCAACTACATATGAAATCACAGAAAGCTCTTGTCCAAGGTTGCTAGCAAGTATTTCTATTTCAAAGCATTGCAGGCATGTTAGATTTTAATTGCTGTACATTTAAAGGCATCTCTTACGAGGAATTTCTGCTTTAACTTTTTATTTGACTTGTGCAATGCACGTTTGAACTACTCAATGTATGCAAGAGGCGTTACATAGATGCAAACACAAAGTGAAATCTTTCTTTAAATTACAGGCAAGAAACAAACATGCGCGCTTTTTATTATTTATCCCAGAAGTAATTTCAAACTAGCAGGCCAATCGGGAAAAAAAAGAAATACTTTTTGTTTTTCAAACCTCTTTGTTTTAATCAAAGAGGACTGATAATATGATGCATGGCGGAAGTTATTAAAACATACAGAAGGAGCTGGAAGTTAAATGAGCACTGAAAAAGTATAGTCAAAAATCTTTCCTTCCTACCTGAAATCTACAACAAACAAGAAAATTACATGGATATTTATTTATCATGTAAGCACAAGCTAACTTGTTCAATTTAGTTGCCAAGAAAGCCTTTCAGAAAGGGTGAAGATCACAAAGAAGTAGTGAGAATGGAACTTGCCTGGAATTGATTTCTGCCCCAGCATTTAGCAGAATCTTGATAATATTCACATAGCCACCAGAAGCAGCGAGGCTTAAAGGTGTATAATCCGAAACATTCCTGTGCTCTTTGTTTGCCCCTCGAGCTAGAAGCAGCTCCACCACCTGCAGTATTTTAAGAAATAAAATCTGTTTTTGTCTTAAACTTGCAAGTCTATCTGATATAAATCTATTCAATGCTTTCAGAATCCTAAATGTACTGTTAACATCTTCCAATGTAAAGACAGCGATTTTGTTCACTTCCTTCACTCTACTCTTGGCCTCTGTGAAAGCTGAGACTAAAATTATGACCCCAAAACCTGCGTGGAAGTCACTTAATATAAATTACAACCACTCATTATATGTCTAAAAGATTTACACCAAACTGCATTACAAACAAATTTATCCCAGTTTTCTGGTTATTTCAGCCATTTTTAAGACTACAAAAAATAGATTTAGTTCAAAAGAAGCATACAAGATAGTCTTGCTTTTTGTCTTCCCACTGTCTCATTCAGTTCGTTATCAAGTTAAAAACTCATCTTCAAACCAAAGCTGAGGAGCAACGAAGAAGTTTCATGCTTTTATCTTTCATTCGCTGTTTACAACACAGCATCAGACTGTTGTAGACTGTACACAAATCTCTCCCAGGAGCCAGAGAAATTAAATTTGCATCACATTAACAACAAAAAGTAATTTTTACATGATGTCTTCCTTACAGATTTATTTACAATTCAAGCAATACCCAGCATTCTATATTGTACATGAAGTTTATTTTCTGCAAGGAAGTTAATGCAGAAGACTTGTTGGGAAACTGAACTTTGTGCCAAAACGAACGCTCACTGAGTTATCTCCAGAACAGTGATGTCTCACTGGCTCAATTTCAGGCTTCCAAGCATAAAACATATTTAGATTGGTCCTACACAGCTGAAGCCAAGAGCTTTTCAATTACAACATTCTGCCTTGAAACCACAGGACAAACAACCTGCCAGAACTAAACTAGAGCAGGGAGGTACACCCTAGTATCTTCACAACTGCCTAAGGCCTAGTGTTTTCCAATCCTGTTTCAAAAGCCATTCAAGAAAACAGGATGTATTTCCCCAAGAAACACTGCTTGAGAGACAAATATCTCAAATCTGTAAAAAGATGACTGTAAATTCATCTTCCCTGCATGAGGTTGCTAGCTACAAGGTCGTCTCCCCTGAACCAAGAACACAGAATTGTGATTTGCAGCTACTCCTTTGTACGTGCTGACATTCCTCTGGCCCATTCAACATCTTCTGAATGGGGCTGAAAAACAGGCCAGAAGAGTTACAAGTTCTCAATAAGATTTCTGTCTAGGAAGATGTGAAATCATCATCTTCAAATGCCACAATACCAGATTATATAATTTCCACTGTGGCCTTTGCAACCCAAACAGAAGCACTTACTATGCACTTCAAACTTGTTAAGACCATTATCATATGACTTTTTCTTAAGTCACAGAACACAGTATCTCACATAGCATTTAACAAGACTTCTTTTACCTTTACTTCTGATCAGTCATTTGAAAAATACCTCAGACTAAAAAATCCAACAAAACAGAAGACACCAGAATCATCTACGGTACATTCTATGCAGAACTGACTATAACATTCTCTTGGCTCATATATGGAGCTAACTCATGGCAAACTCTTGCTTCTCAACAGGAACACTGATCCCATTCACTTCCATATTAACATCCATTTAAGCATGTAAAAACCCCGTAACTAGCCAGGAGTTAGGAGATCTGTTTCACAGCTCTGGTCCAACTTACCAAAATAGGAAAAGGATTTTTTAATCAAACACTGCAATATGTAACCTCAAAAATGTTAACGTCTTAGTGTGTTTTTTTAAAAAACATCATCTGAAACAGCACTGTGTATCAAGTTACTCTAACTGTTCCATAAAATAAAGACAACATACGATCTACAACCCGCTCTTGAAGACTTATAGTTTTACATCACCTCTTGTCTCCCTCCTGAACAAGCCAAGGACAAAGGAGTGTCCTTTGTTCTCTCCGACTGGGCTTCGATATCAGCTCCATTATCAAGTAAGATTTCAACAACACCCACATGGCCAGCTGTAGCAGCCAAAATAAGTGGAGTAAATCCTAGAATGAAAAAGGATGTTTTTGAAGAATCCACATTCATAACTTCAAATTAAGCAACTTACGTTAAACTATCAAGAAAGCAAGCCTAAAAGCTTCACACAAAAACTATATTCACTACATACTTATTTACTACATTAATGGAATGTAGTGGAAGACAAGAGTCGATCTATATTGGCACAGTGAGATACCTACCTTTCTTGTCCCTGTGTTCGATATTGGCTCCTCTCTCTAGCAGTGTTTGTACTAGCTCTTCATGGCCACCAGCACAAGCAAGCGTCAACGCTGTGTCATGATTACTCTCAGTCTGAAAAAGAAATCGTTAGAAATATAAATTCTTCCTTTTTCAAGTACAACTTCTGTCATGTTGCACTGTAGCACAAACACAACTGCATCTATAATGAAATACGAACTACACAAAACTTACGACCTGTTCACTGATCACCTCATTTTTTTTTTCATGTTCAAGTTAGAAACAGAATTCTATCTTTAGTTTGCTCTGCTGGGATATTTTAAAAAAAGATTCCTCAAGAGCAGATCTCCATGTGAGCATAGTTTTAGTTTTGCTTTACTATGTTATGATTGAAGGTAGCTGGCAACCAAACTCAGTACTGACATGCACTGCTGTCTACCAGTTAGCAATGAGACACATCAGGTTATGGGAAGAGTTTGATTCGCAGTCAAAGCAGAAACCAAGTCAACTGCCATAAGCAGCTGAACTAACTAGAACTGGTTTCCCAGAGATCTCTCTCCCCAGTCCACAATAACCTCCTGCTGCAGTCTACAGCAGTGCACACTTACTCATCTCCACACTGCTTGCATCTTAGCCCTATCATCTTGGTCACTTTTTGTAGTCTAGAAACATGCAAATAGAAATACATAGAGAACAGAAAAAAGCAGTACACTTTTTTTTTTCTTTGATGGCTTAATAGCCCCAAATCAACAAAAAGCAGTTGCTTTTAAAATGATTTTCAATATAGATATGCCTTTTCATTATTGAGAGGGAGAACTCTTGAAGTACATCATTTCTGAAGATGTTTTTGCAATACTTTCATACTTCTGTCAGACCTGGGGGAGGCAGGGGGGGCACTGGCCAGCAACTCAAAGCACAACTGTGAAAAGTGTGCAAGAGGTTTTTAGCCTAGTTTTCATTTTCAGAAGTCAGCCACCAAAATATTTAATTCTTTCTACCCTGTTTCTCATATTCACTCATTGAAGAAATGAGAAATACAAATATTTAGTAATGCAAGGCTCTTCTCTTTTATTGAGCTAGAACACAGAAGAAACTGAACTGCAACTTTCCCAAGAGTTGTACAGGCTTTCTAAAATCAGCTAATCAAGTCTCATTATACAACAGCTGCTCCCTATAAATGAATTATTCACAATACAGTGGCTGTACTGCAGTGACAGTGGAAGGCTTACCTGGGCATCAATATCTATAGCAGGGTAAATCGGTAGCATGGCTGAAGGAGAAATGATAGGACTTGGAGTTGGTGTCTGAGGCTGGGAGACAGAAGTTGCAATGCTGTGGGTAGGAGTGTTTGACATTGCAGATGCTCTTCCGCTCACTGCTGTTGAACAGAATAATTACAATTAGTAAAAGCAACAGTGGGTAAGAACTCCTCAAATATTTCAAACATTCAGAAATGTGCATTTTTCCACGCATTTAATCCACCTTTTGAACCCTCATAACTGTATTAGATTGCCAAATAAATACGTACATATCAGATTGTCATGTTCTCTAAATGCCCACCACAAAAAAAAAAAGCACAATATATATATATATTTTTAATATCAAAGACTTTCCTGCAAGTCAGTCATTATTTGTACCAGGAATTCCATACCTTCAGAAGCGAGTGCAGAACAAGTTGAAGCAACAATTATCTACATATTTTCCTTAAAACAGCTTAAGGATTCTCATGTAGAAGTCCATCTACTTTCCCCTAGCCCCCCCACAAACATCACAAAGAAGCAGCAGAGCTAGCATCAGGTTGCTCACATAGAAGAATTTGTTGAAATCAGTGAAGAAGCAGCTTAACAGCTATTTTGCAGAGACTTTGGTCAAAGACGTTAGGATAAGCAGTAGAAGGTAATATCATCTTACAGTTGATGACAGTATATTGACATGACACAAAGTCACACGTCCCTGAAATTCATTTCAACAGCATAATAGTTACGACTACCATGTGAACTTGATGCTACAGCAGCATTTGGGGGAAAGAAACTCCAGTTTTTCTATTTGTTATTCTTTAAAGGAATCTAATGCTTTTCCTCCACAATTTTTCTTCCTTTTTTTACAAGTCTTTATCAAGTGTGAACAGCAAAGCAGGAAGTGAAGGGTTATATGTTTCTCTCATCAAGTTCACAAAAGGACCTTTAGCTGCAAAATGAAAGAAATATGGTTTCCACATTGTCAGCATTCACTGAATATACTACACCGAGTAATCTTAAGGAATACTGAGATAACATCCCTTTCTCCCCAACTTCTGATGTCACACTTATTGTTCAAATAGATTTAGTAATCAGCCACATCCCACGTTACCAACCATACTTATTTAGCTCCTGTGTTTAGTTGGAAGGGGTAACTTTTTCAACAGATGCCATGCAAATTTTACTGCAACATGCCAATCTGAGTACTACTTCCCTGTAATGCAGCTGTGGTTTTAGTACATTTTTGCTTTTATTTCTGGACTTCCTATAACAAATATCATTAAAGAAGCCAATAAATGCCATTGAAAGGAAACAAAAACATCAACTTAGAGCATAAGAAATATACTTCACCTACTACTTAAGACTTAATCATGTCACAAGCTGTGCTGATCTTTATATCAGAGCATCTTTTGAAAGCTGCTCTCATCTTACCAAAAAAGTCACACTAGGTATGAACTAAAAGGAATATGCTGATGCTGAGCCAAAATACTCATGATATTGAAGGTCAAAAACTGCAGCCTAAAGGAGCTCCACATTGTACAGAACAAGGGACTGTAATCTAATAACTTCCAGTGAAGGTTTATTTTGACCTCATCTCACTCCTTACTCTTGCTGTAGAGATATAACCTAATAATGTAGCAACCAATTTGTTTCATAGAGAATGATAAGAATGCGTTTGAACTCCTGCTCCCATCTTCACACACACAGTCATGATGAATAATTTAGGAAAAAAAATAGCAAGTTTACTTTCTTTCTCCAACTTCAAGGAGAAAGCTCAATCATGGTAAAACATGGAACAATTAAAAAAATAATCATGATCCTCAGAACTCCCATCTCCCATCAAACTGACCAGAGAAAGATGATAAAATCAACTGGAAACTAACTATATTAACTTAAATCGTATAACATAAAAGCATGATCATCAAATAATCCACACATGGAAGAAGTTTATCCCGTTACAGAAGCACATGGTATTTGCTAAGATTCCTGCTGGAGCCCTGAGACTGGGGAACACACGCTTTATTACAGAAGTTACTATTAAACGTTCATGTTTAAAAATAAAAACATAAATAAAATAAAAATCAAGCTAACTGGGAAAGTCTCGGAAAGAAGGCATAGGGAAAAGACATCTCCTTCCACAAATCATACAAATCATATATAAATGGTTTTATGAATGATAACAGAAGAATGCATCAATATGCCTGTTGACTTCAGTTCTCATGTTAAATCCATCTCGAATGTGCTTCAGCAATAACACGAATAACACCATCCATAACCCTGAAGTACTCACTGAGACAAGATACTACTTTTTACGGCTAACAATTTGGATTGTGCTTCTTAGATCATCTATGCAGAATTCAAATTTTTCATCAATGTGCCAGTGACAACGAACAAAATCTTTACTGACAGCTTCTAGTATTTGTTTGGACACAGTAAGCCAAAAGGTTTTCATACTAGTCTTTAGCAACAAAACACAGTAGCCAACAAGCACAATCTGCAGTTAATAAACCTCTAAACCAGATCACCTGAAACACCACACTTCAAAGTTACGCCCTAGTTATTGTATGGCTAGGACAGCACATCTTCACAACTAGGTCACAATTACAGTATTTCAAGAGTATCTGTGCTTTAGTTTAGTACCAGCTACTAATCTTATTAACACCAACACACAACTTATAGTTGATGTGATTCCTTTGTATTAATTTTGGTAGTTATAACTGACTCAACTCAGAAGGCAGCTTCCAGTAAGTAAAAATATCAAGTGTTTCAAGGCTCCTGTTTTTTTTTTTTTTGTGAGGTTTTGCTACTGGATGCCATAGAATACAGGATTGTTTGAGTTGGAAGGGACCTCTGTAAAGACCATCTAGTCCAACACCCCTGCGAAGACAAAGATGCCTACAGCTACATCAGGTTGCTCAGAACTCCATCCAGCCTGGCCCTGAATGTCTCCAGGGACAGGGCTTCTTCCATCTCTCTGGGCAACCCATTCCTGTGCTTCAGCTACCTCTTTTTCCTTATATCCAATCTAAATCTCCCCTCTTTTAGTTTGAAACCACTTCTTGTCCTATCACAGAAGACCCTGCCAAAGAGTTTCCTAACTAACCCTTTTCCATGGTCAATAAATACTTCTATTTGCCAGACTCGCTGCAAGCAAATGACTTGAACTGACATCTGAAGTCAAAGAGCAAACCCTTTGCTTGTCATCAGTTCCAGCAGGAGTTGTAATTGAATATTCACTTTTTCAACTTGTCCTGTTTCTTTCAAAATAAAACATAGAATAAAACAATAACAGAACAAAACAACCACCCACAAACAACAACAAAAACACTAAAAACATAAAACCACCACCCTAGAACTCTTAAGTCAGTATATTCTGTGTTCCTAGGCTAATACTGTAGGGCCCTGACAACATCAATGAGCTTCTCTAGCAACAAGGAATCACACTTCAACATTCCAGAGGTGATCTAACAACTAAGCACTTGACTTACAGCAAGACTATCTTATCCCAGTCTCTAATACCAGCATTTGCACACCTGACTTGGTTTAAACAAGCACTTAGAATTGGAGAATTAAATAATAATTTGCAAACAATTAAGCACAAAGATGAACACTAGATCAAGTTTACAATCAGAAGACAGCCTTGTTTTTGTAACCAGTGTGAATTCATAGAATCACTGAATTGCTCAGGTTGGAAGAGACCTTAAAAATCATCGAGTCCAACCACAACCTAACCCTAAGTCTAACAACCCTCAGCTAAATCATGTCCTTGGGCACCACATCCAGGGACAGTGACTCAACCACCTCCCTGGGGAGCCTATTCCAATGCTATTCCTATTCCAGAATTCACCCAGTGCTGCAAACACGGCTTTGTACCTACAGGAATACTCCACAGGGCTCCCAGTGAAGCATTTTAGAAGGCTACAGAAAAAATATGTAGCTGCTCCCTAAACATTTTGTGTTACACTGAGCCCATTTCACCTCCACACTAAAATCAAGATGTGTGAAATTGAGCTGCTAGAGTTGTACAGCCAGGGCTGTATCTGCTCACTTTAAAATAAGCCATTTGACAGGCTTAAGGTGAAACTGCACATGTACAACTTCTAACAGACTTACCACAAATACCTGTCAGAACACAATTTAGATCTGATCCCCAACTGCATGTGTACATGCACATGTAGTAAGAACTGGAACTAAGGAATACAAAAACATTCATTCATTCATATGTACATTGGAAATATCTGACTTTCACAAAAAGGCATGAACAAGCATTTGGGTATGCACCACCTGACCTAAAATCAGAGTTCCTCAAAATGTTATATGCAGTTAAACACACAGCAAGTGTATTCTAAATGAAATTCTATGTTACACTTAAAAGAAAGTGTATTGCTCACATTCTTCACACAAACACAAACGGTATTTGTTCTCTCTGTGGAATCAAGTAGCTGGTGCTGGTAGGTATCCCAATACCATCAGTGCACATTATCACAATGCAAGTAGCTTTATCTATCTTCTCATGTCTCTTGTCAGATATTTATTCACTGACAGCTTTCAATCTTTGTACCTAGGCTTAAACTCTAACACTAGATTTTCCGAAGAGAATCTCATAGCTCCCATAAGTTTCAGTAATCTTTCAGGAGGCTTTGCCTGAACATCAGGTTACTCATTAGAAGTCTATTTTTAGTCACAACTTGAAAAGCATCATTCCAATTATACCAAACAATCACCATTCAGTCTTTTACATAATTACCAAATCCACTATTCACTGTGCACCACACTCCCTCCATTCCTCCTGCAGTACATGCAGGAAAATATCCACTCCTCTGAACCTTTGGACTAACATGTTCTTAGAGACCTGTCTATGCTCCAGTTCATATCCCAGCACAGTGCATTAGTCCTACAGTCTCCTTACGAAGAACTACTGTCAAGATAGACAGCACTTCTAAAAATAAACATTCATCTGTTTCACAAAAACATCAACAAGTTTTTAATCAAGGGAAATGTTGATGTATTTATTATTTTTTAAATATTCCTTAACAGTTGATCTGTATTTAGGTAGGTACTCAAAATGAGTATTTCAGCTATTACTTTAACATGAACAGGGACATGCAACTAAAGCATGCATAAAGAGAATCAACACTAGAAGCTCATGTTCCCTATGGTACTGAAAGCCTATTATTTTAAACAATTACTTTTTAAGGCCTTAAAGCACTGACTCAACACATCCAAGTAATCTCCAAAGTAATTCAGAAAAACCTGGTAGGGCTGAATTTGTTTTTAATTGGAGAAACAGCAATTTTCAGGAGTGTACTTTAAAAAAAAAACACCAACAGTAAACAAATTACAATTACTTTTTTTTTCTTTTCTCTTCCAAGTAAATGTAAACGTTTCCTAATGGTTCACTATCCAGGGCCAATCAAGCACCTTTCATTCAGCAGACAGGCCTACATTCATTACAAGTTGTAGGCTTGATGGAATGCTGTAGCTAAAAAGCCTGCTCGAGTACTCCAGGACAGTTCTCATTTAACTAGCTTAGAGTGCAAACAAACAGTATTGTCCTGATGCTGTTCCTAAGCTACAGACTGAAATACAGCTGTTAATCTCTAGCACACCCCTCCCAAACTACAAAATGTTAAAAATGCAACTTCTGACATACCAACCTGACAAAAGAGCACCAGTATAGCACAACAAAAAGAAAGACAAGGCTGCAAATTGAGAAGTTAAAACTAATTCTGAGATCCTAAACACAGGAAACAGGCTAGTGGTTTTGCTGTAGAGCTAGCAGGAATACATAAACACACACGCACACACAAAAAAAGCCGACATACCCTCAACTGGTTAAGCAAATATTATACCTGCTCATAACAATATAAACCCACCTGCCATGATGTCATCCAGCGTGTCATTGAGCGTCTGAGCAGGGCTGGCTACCATTAACCCTTGCTGTGTTTCTGTCAGTATTCCTTGCCCCAGCCCTGCTAGTTGTGCTTGGCCCAATACTGGCTGTCCAACTATAACACCTTGCAGTTCTGTAAGATTTGCGATGGACCCTGGAGGTAAGGAACCTGCTGCCAGAGGCAAAGCTTGTGGCATCGCCAGAGGCTGAATTGGTGCAAAACCCGTCTGTGCAGCAGCTTGCTGAGGATCATCTTTAAGCAAGACGGGGTCCACTTGCTGTAATCGTGCATAGTCTCCCTCTGAGAGTTGTTCTCCTACCCCAACAGGAGTCAGAAGTCCCAGGTGCTGGCAAGACTGTTGCTGCTGCTGCTGCTGGAGCTGAATTCTTTGCGCTTTTACCTCTAGATATTGCTTTTTCAGCTGCTGCTGAGTTTTCAGCTGTAACTCTCGTTCCACTTTCTGCAGTTCCTCCAAAATCTTTTGTTTCTTCTGAATTTGTTCCTCTCTCGTTTTGTTCAGCTCCTCAATCTTCTCTTTGGTGAGCTGGTCAGCGTGTGCCAATTCCAAGGACTGCAGCTGAGCATTCTTCTCTATGGCTTCTTTTATCCTCTGCTCCAGCTCTGTCAACTTGCCCTGAGCCTCTTCTACAATGCTCTCTGGAGACTGATTGGTGATGTAACCCTGTACATCCTGGTTGTTTGCTGGCAAATGACTGCTGGACTTTTGTTTAGAAGCAGCTGTGTGAAAAAGAAACCCCCTCAGAACCAATGGAAGTGCATATGAATGGCATCCTCATTATAGAGCTACTGTTGGGATGCTAAATGCACTGAGACACAGCACCCACAGAAGGTCAGAAAGTACTTGTACTGCCCTCAACGGAAACTGTATCTTTCACTATCAACTTTAACACAGCAGTCAGATCGCAAGTTAAAAGTACAGATTACTGCACATACATTCCAAATAACCCCTACGCTATGCTGAAATATTTAATCCAACTACTGTTATATTTTTGCCAAATGAAGTGATTGTCTCAAGAGCCGCTGTTATCAAGTGGTGCTATGAGATAAATGAAAACAAAAGGGTAGAACATGCTGTCTCTTCACTTGATCTTTTGGAATTGGTATCGTGTTAAGACAAATGTACCGTTACATCCCTGAAGCACAGCAAAAGTGATGCAAAAAACATCTTTTTTCTAGGCCACCAGTTTTTTGAGCAGTGTGGTACATTTTAGGAAGTATTATACTTTCTAGGAACACTGAATCCTTTCGCTACAGGTATCCAGCTTTGCCCAGTTGACAAACAGTGCTAGAACCTAGGATAGTCATTTATATTTAACATGATCTAACAGGGTATGTTTAGTAACTACATGTTATCCATAGCAGACACGATTTTGCACGTGTCAAAACTCAGCTCTCCGCCCAGGCAAGGCAAATAATTCAGCCTTCCTGTAAGAACAAGCGATGGACTAATCCAATACATCTTTTATGAAGAAGTCCACGGTAATACAGCTGACATGGTCTGCCATACCAGTTGGAGAAAGAACAACCTGTTAATTTTGAAGGGTGAAAGGCAAATGAAAACTCAGGATTTGAGCCAGTGGTGGTGCCCAGTTTCTTCCAGAGATCCTTGCTGTATTTCCAGAACAATACAAGTGTACACACAGTATTAATTTTATAACATGCACGCCTGTATTTGCGCTATTGCTGATCCTTGATTAAAAAAAAAAAATATTTTGGAAGAGACTTCTGAGGTACAGAAAGTGTAAATTCTCAAAATGGTGATCCTCAAAATAGATGCAAATTTAGTCCTAGAAGGACCTGAGCCACATGAGACTAAATATTTTATAGCACAAGAAATTCCGCCTTCAGTCACATTAGTCCACCCCACTCCAAGACTACTATCTTAAGAAAACACAAGTTACCCAATCAACTACAATATGGAGCTTAACAATTTCTACAAGTTAGACTAGAAAATTTACAGAGCTTTCTGGGTGACATTCTGTTGTTTCAGTCCGGTATGCCAGACTAATATATACTGTAATGTTTTACTTAGGCAGATTTCTTGACACTTTGTGGTAAAAGGGTTAGATGACTGAGTTCATATTTAGTATATAAGCAATCCTAAAAAAAAATTTACAGTATCTCCTTGACTGAATCCATTAACACTTTTCATAGGAACTACTCGCTATAAGTGCAACCCTAAATCTTCTATTCAGAAAATCAGCTCCAGAACTAAAACTGACCTTTATTTCTGATGGGAAGGGTTGTGGCGACATTAGCAGGGGGTTTGTCAGGCTCCTGGGGTGGGACGACCATGGGCAGCGCCTGCACTGGTACACGAGGAGCCTAAAATGTTGGATACTAATAGATTATTTTTCTCATACTCCAATCTAGTGATAGTTCAATAGAAGGTAAACAAAACCTGTTAGAAAAGCAGACGTTTGTGGTAACTAACAACATTTAAGACAGTTTAAATATGCTGAGTTCAACAGTTAACAAAATCATCTAGCTTCTACGTGCTTCAAATTCGTAACCTAAGAAATAGCTTGGGTAAGCATACTCATCTCTGTATGCTACACTCTGATAAAGCAAATACAAGCCACAGCAGACTACAAATGTAATTTTGCAGAACAGCCTCACTAAAGATGACTTCAGTTGCTGGCTGCTTTTTTTTTTTTTAAAAAAGTAATTTTTGTAGATGAACAGAAGGACCACACAGCAATGCTCAGAGAACCTTCATCTTTACAACAGCTCAGATTTTCAATGCATTCCCTACAGTTCAGTAGTGTATAAATGACACACCTGACTCTTTCAAATGTTTCAACTTTGACTAAGCTGCAAGAAGAAATACAAAGTCCCACAGATCAAACCAGCAGTCCTTAATTCTTACCCTATTTAAATCATGGGATGGCGGGGTCAGCTGAGTAGCATCAGGTGGAGGAGCAGAAAGTAAGTTGTTTGGGTAGTCTAGAAGGTAACAAACCACACTGGTATGACCACCCTTTGCTGCCTCTATTAACATAGTTGATCCATCCTGAAGAGGCAAAGATCACAGTATTAGAAAAGAGTACAAACAGAACATGACAGTGTTGAAATATTTTGACAGACCCAACAAAATATATAAAAACTTAAATATTCCAACTGCAGCAAATCCACAACTAAACTTAAGAACTCTACAAAAAATACCCAATAATAATATTTTTTTTAAAAATCAATATTTTAGTTTTCATTCAACTATGGCCTCACAACTGTGTTGTGCTTTAAAGCAGCAGACAGTTAAGCATCACACAGCTGTTCACTCACTCAGAAGAAAATAAAGCAGTGGAGTGACAAACCTTCAATCTATGTGTAGGATCAGCACCATGAGCTAGCAGTAACTCCACAACCGCCAGATGACCTCCAGCACAGGCCAGTGATAACACTGTATGATCATTGTTAGCAGTAGTCCTGTTCACATTTGCTCCTTGAAAAAGAGAACGCAAAGATTATTTAAGGAATGCAGGAAAATAAAAAAAAATACAAAATGAAAAACGCTTTCTCTTTGGCTGCAGTTTTGCAACTAATACATTAAAACTGAACCAGACTATGATCAGAAGTCATTTAAATTGACAGTCACTGAATTAACATGCCTCGTTAGGTAACAACTTCAGAATTTGACCCTTACTACAGGTACTTCCAAGAACAGCAAAACTACCCGCAACTAGCATTCAAACTCATTGTTCTGATACATTTATATGTATTAAACTTTACACACTAGGAGAACCTACTGGCTTTTAAGTCTGTTAGCAGTTCTTTTCCAGTGATGCCTCTTTTTACAAATGACTTGATGCATTTAACTAGTCATCAGAAAGAGACTAGATGCAGCTCTGCTTCTTTCCGTACTGGAAGCCTTAGGCCTCCAACACCAGGTATGAGGAAAAACTGTTGCTAAGAAAGAAGACAGCAGTTCTGAGGTCTGTACCAATTCTATGCATTCAACAGTAACATAAGGCTGCAGCTGACAGTTGTGACAACATAGAGCAAGTGATAACTGAAACGCTGAAACAAGCAAGGACTTGAAATTTAACTTCTGAAAAAATACAGTGCTCAAAAGCTGCACCAGGAGCAGAGATACCGAGTAACCACTGCTGTGTTATTAGGAATTAGAGAATGGAATGCAACTATTCTTAAGAGTTCGCTGAATTTCCACTCATCTCATCAGAAACCAGAGGAGATAATTATGTGTTCAGAATCACTGAAATATGTACAGTATTTGAATCAAATCCATGGTACTAGCACTGACATATGCCCTTAAGTTAGGGCAGCTCTGTTAACCTTCACACAATACTTACCTTTGCTAATCAAGAACTGAACAGTGCAAACATGACCTGCCCTTGCAGCTTTCATGAGAGGAGTTCTTCCACCTTCTGATTCATGCTCCTAGAGCAAATTAACAAACACTTGGTATTCAAAATTCAGAAGCATCACACACACAAGTACATAATTAAATTTTGCTTTTTGAATTGGAAAACACTAGGTATGGAAGATTTCTGTTTTGTATTTGACAGCCTACCGGCACTAAATTTTTAACAATACTGCAACATGCTATATCTTGCAGACAGAGGAGAATATCTACCACAACTGCACAGGTCTAAAACTCCTGGATAAGAAGCTTTCAAGCACAGAATGGTTACTATAAATCAAGAAAATGTGTTCTGTCATGCTTAATTTCACTTTTTGATGACCTACTGGTGTACAAGCTGGCCCAAGTGCAAAAAATAAACTGACAGTACACCAAATAGATCTCACGAGATGAAGAAAACTGTCAACTGTCTACTGCTTAGGGAACAGAATAAATTTCAAATGTAAGTATTAAACCATAAACAGCTCAGCAACTCTAAGCTACACTGCACATGACAAAAAGAAAAGTGTCTTCCGATTTCCTGCACATGCAACCGCCAGGGTTTGAAAATGCTTTAGACAACTCCAAAGTTTTCCTTGTGACCTAAACATTCCCAGATAACAGAACAGCCTAACAGCTATCAGAATGCCATCACTAGTTTTTACTTAGTTAAAAGAAGGTTTAAAAATTTTCAGCAGTGAACATGAAAATAAACATATTAACCACTGTATTTCCTTTTTGTAATTTTTAAGAAGGAAATTACTTACCAGATCTGCACCTGCCTGAAGTAAGACATCTGCTACATCAGTATGGCCATTTTCACACGCATATGTCAGTGCTGTATCACCTGTTGCTGTTGTTGCATGCACATTAGCCCCTAAAGCAGTATTAACAAGCATGTAAGCTTTGTGGAGCTCGTTACAGAAGATATGCAATTCTCTTTATAATCTTTTATAAGATCAGGTGGCAAACCTAACTTTTTCCCCTGAATTACAACAGCTTTGAAATTATTTAATGACTTAGCCATACATTAGGGGCATTAAAAGAAAAAAACTCTAGGACTTCAGTTCCAAGGAAAAGTACACCAACCGAGTCTTTAAAAACTAAATTAGGTTCCAACCAGTACATTATTTAAGATTCCACAAGCCTTTGCAACCAACTTAACGAAGCTGCTAATCAAAAGTGTTATGAACGTGAGAACAGATTATTTCCTGTAAAGATACTCTGAGTCTATAAAAAAAATAATTAACAGAATTATTCCATACCTGCAGCTAATAAATATTTAACCAACTCCAAGTGACCCTCTTGAGCAGCCTCCATCAAAGGTGTTGAACAACCAAGCTCTATATCTGCTCCTGCTTTAATAAGAAAATCAGCAACCTCCAAAAAACCTCCACAGCAAGCTAGAGTTAGAGCAGTTTCTTGTGTCTCTTCTGTCTGAGCATTGATGTTTGCTCCTTCAAAAACAAAACAAAAAACACCAACACTAATTACTGCAAACAGTATCAGCAGACTAATACATTTCTTGATGTACAAGACATTTGCTTATTGCATCTTGTTTTTACAACAGCCAAAGAATTCCTCTAAAATCATGGTATATCAAATCTGGTTTTTTTTTTTTTTTTTTTTTTAAACTACTTGGGGAATCCCTCTGAGAACTTCAAAGCACTTCAGCTTGTTTTGGTACTGAAAAGCTGTGAAGATGCATCAAGAACATCTTGCAGAGTGCAAGTTATTCATACCAACTGTTCAGTACAGCATATCTGTTTGAAAAATTCAAAGCTGTTGTGAAGACCAATTCAGAATGACCACTTAACAAGATAACAGACCATTTTGCTAAACCGCGGATTTATTTAAATGGGGGTGTTGGCTTGTTCAGAAGTTGGTCAAGGAACAAAAATAACCAAAGATTAGTAATAATTTGAAGAAAAAGAGATACACAGATGCTTGTTGAATTGCAGACCATGGAAAGCATCCCAATACTTACCTTGGCCAAGTAGTAGTGCCACCATCTCTTCGTGGCCTTCTCTAGCTGCTTCCATTAGCGGTGTGTATCCTTCATCGTTTACCTCTTCCAAGTTAGCTCCACGTTCAATCAACAAAGCTGCCAGTTCAACGTGCCCTCCACAAGCTGCCAAAGTCAATGGAGACTCGAAGGAGTCAGCAGGCATGTTCACCTGAGCACCACTGTCAAGCAGCAATCTCGCCACTTCCACATGGCCATCCTAGGAATTAAAAAAAAAAAAAAAAAATCAGAGGTCAAGAAATCGAGACCAAAAAAAAAGAAAAAAACAAAAACCCAACAAGCTGCTCTTTTCCAAACGTTAAAGAACTCACCAACTCAAATTCCATCAGAGGTAAGAGAAAAGGAACAAGCAAGGATGTCCAAAAAATATAACAAAACTTTGAGTTTTCTCAAATATTTGGATAAACACTAAAAGGCACTAGAAGAACTTGGTTTTAATGAATATGCCCTTTCCAAAAAAAAAACAAAACAAAAACAAACAAAAAAAACCCAGCAATATTGTGAACCACAAACTTCTCTGCCTGTGGTACAGCAAACTTGTGAACTTCATAGAAGACTCAAATTCAGTTGCTTATCAGTTTCGTTGGAGAAAAAAACAGCAACAAAAAAAAAACAGCAACAAAAAAACACAAGCTGAGACAGAGCTTGATGGTATTTTGAAAGCTTGCCTCCTCCACAAGTTGGAATCCTACAACTGAAATCCTGAAATACTCAGTATTCATCTTTATTGAACAATTCAGACAGAACTGAGGACTGTCAAACTTATTTAAGGATGAAAAATCTTAGCAGAAAAGCAAACAAAGGCTTTTATGTTCTTTCAATAAATTTATTACCAACAACACAATTACTATGTTAGATAAAGGAGGGAAGATTTAGGTTGGATGTCAGGAGGAAGTTCTTTACAGAGAGAGTGGTGAGGGACTGGAACAGGTTGTGGATGCCCTGTCCCTGGAGGTGTTCAAGGCCAGGTTGGATGGGGCCCTGGGCAGCCTGTCTAGTATTAGATGTGAAGGTTGGTGGCCCTGCATGTGGTGGTGGGTGGGGTTGGAGATTCATGATCCTTGAGGTCCCTTCCAACCCTGGCCATTCTGTGATTCTGTGATAAAGGAATACTGAAAGAATTCCAATCAAAAATCTTTTTACTTGGACATGAGAACAAGTTGCAAAGCTCTTCTGAAAGACTACAAAGCCTTAACATTGCCAAGAAGTCACTCCATGTCAAGGTTCCACAATTAGTAAAGAAGCGAATTCTTAGATTCAACATGCATTTACATTATTTGTTATATACAGCATATTTACAGTACAAAAAAAAAAAGAATCAGTGTATGTCAGGAGTAGTTTGCCTTTACCTCCATGAGGACTATTAGCTTCTCAGAGTATTTATTTTACGGGTTCCCGCTTTAGGATGGGGAAACTATTAAACAATTCTGCTTCCTTACTGTCTTAAATAGCTGTGCAGAACTATATTGCTTGTCTCCTGGCTCCCATAGAACTACTGCATTTGCTGCTCTGTTTTACAGCCCAGTCAGGACTTGCTTTCTCCCTCCAAGTGAAAACAGATCAATTTGTCAAAGGCTCCCCATAAATCACAATAGTGACCTCAACTGTAACTATCCACTGGCAGAGATTTCTAGGTGCTGCTATGCTGTCAAACTCCCAAAATGTACTCTCACATTTGCTTTTTTTTTTTTTACTTTGCAAACCATTTGAGCATACAGTCTTTGTCATGTTTTCTGTACACTGTAGACTGAGGAACCTGCTGAAAAAGCTTTTCAGCTGTATGTTTGCTCTGGAGTCCTGACAGTGGCATATCAACAAAAATAGAATCAAATGGCAGTTTGATAACAGAGCAAGATCAGCTTGGTCACTGAACTTTGTTACCAACAGCAACAGAAACTCTCCAAGCTGGCTTTCTTCATGAGGAAATGGGGATCATTCAAACTTGGAGTAGCTATGGAGGGAAAAGTCTGACAAACAACAGGAGGCAACATCGGAAAAGCAGCAGCTTACCAAGAACACAAAGCTCTCTCAAGATTCTTGCTCAACACGTTAAGTACATCTTGATCTCAGATTAATTAATAAGAGACAGCAAATTGAAGCCACTGCTGTCTGCACCAAGGGATAGCAAATCGCAGCCAGTATCATCCTCACCAAGCTGCAAACCACAACCTTAAGCGCTCTTTCTCAGACTAAATACATCACTGCATCTGACATTTTCAGACTTCACTGTCTGAACCTCACGATTTCCGGGGAGCACAGTAGGATTTTCTCCCAGAAGAAGATCTAGGACATAAACTAGGACGTACTTGCTTTTCTACATGAAATGACAACACTATTTTAGGGAAAAACTCCAAGACTCCGTAAAGAATCTTTCCTCAGGGAAATGCTGAGATGTGCCTTAACCATCAGGCTCAGGCAAAACAGCTCACTAATCATTCCCAACTGATTTAGCTAAAGTACAGCTAACAGCAGCATAAGGATACGCTTCAAAGTTTCTTATGTAGGCCAGGCAGCCTTAAAAATAACTACTGGTGATTAATCACTCAAGGAAATTTTATCTGTGTTCTACCAAACCTGGCAATGGGAAGGTGCTGTTCAGTTCTTCTGAAATATCTGAAAAATACCCTAGTAACTGCTATTTGATCACAAAAGGTTGTCTGATCTATCTGCACAAGTACACCAGGCATGTTCTAAAGACCAACCAATGCGGGCAATCAGTACTCAGCACTCACTGGAAAATGCTGTATTACTAAGTAAGTGCCAAGTAGACAAACCTGCTTTTTGCTCCCTCGAGACAACTCATATTGCTCAGCAACTCATTTGCATTAAACAATTACTGGTGTCTGCAAAAAAAAAAAGCTGTTGAACAAAAGCCTTCTTGAATGCCTTGTATGACAAGGTCCATGCAGTCTCATGGCTTGTATCATAAGGACTATGCCACAGGTAATTCTCTAACACATACTGAACTTCAACGTTATCCTAGAGAGGGTAGCTTTCTTCTGTTATTGAAAAGCAGTGACTGTTTCTGCCTCCTGTATGAGAAACGTCTGCTGTACTTCAGACTGCCACCTTCTTAAGAACTGCCGCAGAAAGTCGCTCCCTCTCTTAAACATAAGTGAAGGTACTGATAACATCAATCACCTCTCAGTCAATTATGAGAAGTGTTTTCTGCAGAAATAAGGGAGACCAAGGCTTTTTCCCCACTACCATAACTAAAAGGCAAGCCTATTAATATCTTCGGGTAAGAAGAAACAGACTTGGTAATCTGTGTGCCTTTCTTTCTAATGACCTCTAGAGAACTATCACTGTTAGTTAATGCTCACCCTATTTGAAGCCATTATCTTCCTGAAACAGGCACAGCTGTGGGTGAATTTAGAGTCATAAGTGCTGTAATTTCAGGAAAAGGAAAACTAAGTAAAGTTTAAAGAAGCATTTCTGGCACTCTTCCATAGCCACAGTCACAACAGTACACAAAGTTTACAACAGGAAAAACATGTTAGAAATCCAGTTATTCAGCTTACTTGTAGCTCACACAAACACACATTAAGACACTGATATAGAATTTTTTTCTTTACCACAAAAGCTTGGAATCATCTTAAACTGGGCATCATTTATGACATTTCAGCACCTAAATGTACACATGCATAACCTCTAATGGTGATAATTTCACAAGCACGTGTGTTGTACTACAACAGATTAGCTAAAAATCAGATTTTCTCTCAGTGTCTTCAAGATTAATAAAAAGACAATTATAAAATAGGGGATATACACTGAAATACTCTAATTAATCAAGTCCCTTTCCCGTTTTACTAGCTGATCCCCAAAAAGCCTCTGATTCTGTTTTCAGGGAGCCAGGGGCTAGGTGAACCATACAGAATTGAGTCACACACCTAAACTTAACCATCAGCATGGGAAGACAAGAACTTTGCTTGCAAACTCCTTTAACATGGCATAGTTATGTTAAATGCTTCCAAATAGCCAGGTTACAACTATATTAATTTCTTATATTTAATGCCTATTGTAACAACATTTGAACAGCCACTACAAATCTGCTTTATTTCTTTATTTCTTTTGGAGATCACTGTAGAAAGGACTATCCCATTATAAACTGGAAGTTGCTCTCCATGACAGAATTAAAAAAAAAAAAAAAAGGTTTTGTTTAAATAACTAGTATTTACATACAGCCACATTTGAATTCATGAGTTTTTCTAAAACAAGCTTCATAAAACTCTCTTCATCAAATCAGGCTTCCATAATTACCAGAAAAGCCAAAAGTAAATGATGTAACAACAGAAAATGCAGTTTATATGAAGCTGCTCTAGGACAGTGAGCACAGAACAGCCTTATTTGTTGACTTCTGTTACTTCTGAAAAAATTAGACTGCAGTTGGACATAACGTAAACTTCATTATTCAAACGATGAGTTCATAACCATCTCCTACTGTCTCAGAAATGTAACTATGTGGTTGGTTATCAAAATAAGAAATTTCATTTCACTATCTTAGTAAGTACCATATTTCAACCAGTTACTTCCCCCCTTCATCATCTGCTGAAAGATTAACATGCCCAGAGAACCAGAACATGAAGTTAGGTTCAGTCAGTACCTCAAAAAGGCCACAAACAATCACTTTGTTCATCTCCTGGTAGTAAAAAAACCAACAGATTTGCCTCACCAATAAATCCATGCATCTCTTACCATGCAAGCCTCCATGAGAGCAGTGTGCATTTCATCTGTCTTGTGCTCCTGGTCTGCACCAGCTTCCAGCAAGAATCTCACCATTTCTAGATGACCTGTACAGAGAAGTTACTTAACAGATAGAAACGACTTTCATCAAGTACATTTTGCAACTACCATAAAAATGTATTAGCATAATATAAGTAAGGCAACAAAAGGCCACGTTACAACACTAGAAGTCCAGCATGTCCATATCTATACATTCAAAGTCCACATAAACCTAGTAACAATTTTTATAAATATCATCTGATTCACTTCATGACTAAAGTGATGCATCTACAACATGCATTCCTTGAATTGATAGAGCTGAGCAGTGCAAACATCAGATTGACAAGGGTAGTTCATTATGTCTTAACAGTTTCCAATTTCTTCAACTAAAGAACATCAGGATGTTTTGTTTAGCTTGGAGGGATTTTTCTTCCTCTTCCCAGTCAACACTAAGAATTTAGGGTTACTGTGCTTATAAATTGCATTGTGAACAGTCCCTGAGATCACACCAAGACTTATGGAATAAAATATATAAGACAGATGGACCTTCACACATAGCATTTGTAGAATCCATCTGAATATTTCCACCATAAAAAAACTTAATGCAGTTTGCAAGTATTTACAACCTACCACTCCATTAATTCACAACTATCACTTTCCAAGTCCTGTAGGTATGTCAAGCCCACTCAACTCTGCTACACAGTCATGACTGACTCAAGAAGCAAGCACATAAAATCAAGTCAGGGGGAAAAAAAAAAAAAAAAAGCTGCTTTAAGACTGAACATGAACATAGGATACTGACCACTATGAGGCTACACTGACTTTTCACCCTTCCCCCTTTACTTGGGAGAAGCTTGTGACATCCTTGGTTCTAAGCATCGTGTCATCCTACTACAAGAAGCAAGCAACACGAGAAAAATCAGGATAATATCACCACTTCCTAAAAATGACATTTAGAGCAACACAGAAATTCATGGGATACAGACAAGAGGTATGGATGAGAAGAACATAAAACCTTGAACGTCTTCACTTCTATTCTGCTTGGTATAACACAAAACTGACTTAAACACTTTTTAAAAAAACAAAAAAAAAAAAAAACAAAAAAAACCTGCTCTCCAAGAAAGCTTGTGATTCAGAGCTCAGGCACACTTTTTTCAGGGAGGAGATGGTTTAAAGTCCCACTCCTCTCTTTCAAACAAAGCCTCTGTTCTGATAATCACCACAGAAATAAACTACCATGGCTTATGAAGGTGCTCAGTAATAATGCACAAGGATTTTAATCACGATTTTATCAAAGCAGAAGAAAACAAATGTAAATGAACAATTACAATTTTGAAGTGCAAAGTCCTTTAAACTATCTGACATTTCTACACCTAAGCAGAGTAACCTGCAAAATAAGTTACATTACAGAAAGTTTATTGTACTCATTCTGTATAAAGTATACATCCTCTTGCTTCACAATTAATTTAATTGAGAAAAAAAAAACGTACCTTAAGGACTCAGAAAAAGTTTTGTATCTTAACGTTTATTCTACATATTAACCATCATCTTACAGTACGTACATGCTGTGCAGCATCCCAGCCAATATAAAAACATATGAAAGCGTGTATTTATAGTGCTAAAATAAATTTCATAATACACAGCAAGGCACAGTAAATACATGTTTCAAGAAACTTTCCACACTTAAGTAAAAGCCTTGGTACCATACCTTTGTAACAAGCCAGGGTAAGCGCGCTCTCCTTAAACTCATTGGAATGTGTATTTATGCCAGCGCCATTTTCTAACAGCACTCTGGCCACTTCCACATGACCAGCACTTCCTGCTTCCATGAGAGGAGTGTGACCATTTTCATTATGGTCCTCAATACTAGCGCCCGATTCCAGCAGTACTTTCACAACATCAACGTAGCCTCCAGCACAGGCATATGTAAGAGCTGTATTGCCTAGAACCAGAGGAGAAAGATTTTAAAGACAGAACTCTAAATCTGACAGAATTCCTACAACGGAAACCTTGTATTTCATTCATCTGATCACATTTATTGGGCTAACTACCTTCCAGAACAAGTTCTTTTTTTATTTTAATTTGAAGTTTCAAACCAAGAAACTGCTTGAAAGGACGAAGGGAAAACAAGCAGGTAACTACACGAAGTAATTCAGTGTTGACAAACTGAAGATCTAAATGTATCTGGTGACTGAAAATTCTCTTCCCATTTCTCTCTCTTGGTTAATCCCAACTTGCACGACAAAACCTCATCACCTTTCTTGTTAAATCAGCAGGGATGTACTAGATGGCTAAAAGAAAAGCTCAAAGCAAGGAGCAACATGAACTACTGCTTCTAAATCAGATCTAAAACACCTGTGAAGGGCTAGTTCACAAGGTCCACAGGCTTCACTAAGAGATGAAAAGAATCCCCATGAAAAAAAACTCACAAAAAAATCCATATGAACAAAACAGTCAATGAATCCACAATTATGAAAGGCTTTAAAAAAAAATAAAATGCCAGAGCAGTATTACTAACTTGGAACTGCTTAATTAAAAAAACCTCCACACACCTGTCTTATACCCCAATTTTTCTCATTATTTAGGGTTAATAATCAGTTATTCAAGGCTGCACAACAAAGATTTCCAAAAGACTACAAGCTACTAAAACACAACCCGCCAAGGTGGCACTAAAAAAGGCCCTCTTCTCAAGTTTTTTTGTATTCTCAGTTAAGTAGACCTTCCGTCAGATAATTTTGAGTATATCAACTTCCAAACTGTGCTTAACATACTGTGCCACAACAATTCACAAATCCCACATATCTAGAAGTCTCTAACTTAATCCAATTACTTATGTCCAAAACCAACTTATATTTTAAAACTACCTAAAAAGGGTAAGTAAAGTAAGTTGTAAAACATTAAGGAAGAATTCTGTTTATAAAAGTTGATTCTCAACTGAGTGTGTCTTACAATTTTTTCAGATCAAGTGCTAGTATGCAGCAAATCTCAGCTTTCCAGTTGTTTTCAACCAGTTCCAACACCTATTTACCTGTTGATGACTGCGCATTCACATCAGCACCATGAGCTAGCAGCAGCTTGACAATTTTGACATGTCCACCATTAGCAGCAGCCATTAAAGGTGTTATGTCTCCTTTAATACCTCGGTCCTCTACATTAGCATGCATTGCCAGAAGAACCTGTGAACAGAAGGAAGATCAACAGCCTTGGGAAGTGACAAGGCTGAGTGTCAACACGGTCAAAAAGTTACACAACCCCCACACCTTCACAAAGAGGTTTATGCTAGAAACTTTGAAAAATAAGCACAAAATGCACCAGCCACATGCAGCTGCGTGCAAGTCTTCACCTGTCAGCTTACTGATGTTTTCTTCTATCTTAACACCACCTTCAAGTACATAAGTGTTAATTCAACACCTACCTATTTTTGTATAAGATGCACAAAACAGTTAAAAAAGAACCAACCTGTGCAAGCTCATAATATCCTGCTGAGCAGGCTAAACAAAGGAGGCTTTCCCCTTCTTCTGTGTGCTCGTTCACACTTCGTCCTTCAATTAGCAACTTCCGCACAGCATTTACATCTCCTTCTGAACAAGCCTCTGCCAAGCTGCGGCTAGTAAGATAGAAAGCATTGGGAAGTGAAAACAGACCTCACTTGAAACGCTTTCTCTACATGTAGAATAACAAGTCCAACATGCCAACAGGATGCAGTTAACTAAAAAGAAAGGACAATCTAAAAAGCGTCAACTGTTAATTTGATGGTGGCATTAATCATGTTATTATTTTCCAATCCAAGGTTATAACTTAAACGTGCAGTGCAGAATGACCACTTTGCTTACCAAGTTCTGCAACATATACAGGAAAAGCAGAGAACATGCTCAGAGAGGACACGATCGTGGGCCTGATTTACCCACAGCACATGCACTGTGTGACATTATATCAGAGTACGAAGACTTTTTTACAATCACTTTTCCTTTTGAAAGGCTATTCCTACAGTACTAGAAACAAATCACTGCTCATTTATATTATTAATCACTAATAGCATACAGTCTCCATATATTCCTGTTTCGTAGCACCAGTTTGAAAAGTTTATGTTCTACTCATTTTCTAATGTAAGGTACAAAGAAAAGACATGATTTGAACAAAAGTTCAATAAAATAATACCCAACTGAGTACTATTTTTTAGTATTCCATTCCAAATCTACAAGCACTCAAAGTCACATCTTCTTTTATTCCAGGTGCTTGAGGACAAGGAAATCACCAGCCTTATCACACTTTTCCCCAGCACTGTAACTATTAAACTAAAACACCACCCTTAAGAAAATGGCTTCACTTCTGCCACGTAGCATAGGACAGAAGTTACGGAATTTTATAACAATTCAGTGGTTTCATTGTGGCCCTAACTCCACCCAACAAGACGGGCAATGTTCTCCTGGTTTGGTAAACCCTAAGAGAACTTCTGGTTCTCACATCACTTCTTCGCTTCTATCACTAATTCTGTTTCAGTCAAAAAAGGGTTTACTGAATGCATATTCTCAATTACTCTGAAACAACGTATACAATACATTTACTCTTACAAAGCAGAAACTTTTACAGTAGAAATTCAAGCCTGACAAATTTTCTCTCTCTTCTCCATGTAACTGTATCAGTAATAAAAAATTCAAGTCTTTTTAATTTGGGTGACTTCATTTCACCCACCACCCTTTCACCTCCTATCCATTTAACAAGTCCTATCAAAACAAAATTAACCATAAATGGAATGGAAAAATAAGATATTTTACTGAAATTTTTTGCAAGCCTCACTATTCAACATTAATAATTCTTAAAACACATGAGATCTGAAATAGTTACTCGTTTAGCATGGATCAAATTATAAGTGCTTCTCATAACCAGGACTCCTCTATCATCTGTGCTACCAGACCGAGTTTTTATATATGGAAAAATATTTCTTAAATGTAAACTGCTCAACATATTTTCCACATTTTCTTCTACTTCCCATATTCCCTGTCTTAGCAACTTTGGTAACAAGAGCATGCAAAGAAGAGCATCAGACACAACAGCAAATTATTCTGCTCTTCTTTAAATGCCCTCATCAGCGTACTGTAACTGTTCTGAGTCACTTGGTATACAAAGAATAAACCGTCAACTAGAAAAGGGGAATTCAGTAGTTCCTACTAACAGTTTGATTCTTTTGTACCGAAACACAAATAGAGCCTAGGAAAGAGTCATCTTTTACTCCTCCCTCCAATATTCAGCAATCCAGAATCCACTGAGTGCCACAGAGCCTCCCAAAAAGCAGAAAGGCTTGGCCACCCCTCTGTTTAAGGTCCTACCCAGATGACAACTTGGCACAAGTTCCACTTGGAGTTTCATCATTTTGCAGCCAGAAATACACAAGGAAAAGCCCCACCATTAAGTAGCACACAACTACAGTATAAAGCATGGCTTACTTGTCCGTCTGCCCTGCATTTGCTGTGCTTTCTGCTCTCATCCGGGTAAGTGCAGCAGCAGCTTCATCCAACGCGCAACTGACCGAAGAAGTCAGTCTGCGAAGCACCTCAGGATCTGCGAATGCTTTACCATCAGCAGTCGATAGTTTACCTATTCCTTCCATGATGCCAATTTGCAACAAGTTGGCAAGCGTGCCAGGAAAGGAGGAAACAAAAAAGTTGAAACTGAGCCTACAAGATTCCTTGACAGAAGCATTCCAAACATAATGAATTACAGCTTCCAAAACTGAAGGGATTAGCTGTTTAAAACATTCATTTATAAGCTGCACTCAGACATGATGCACATGAATTAAACCCTCTAACCATCTAAAACACTGTTTTTCAACTAGTCATTATATGCAACTCATGTTTTTCATACATCCGTATTACAAAACAAAGCCTCACTGAACAGTGTAGTTTTTGAGACAAGGCTGCAAGTCTAAGACTGGGTGTTAATTTTTTTCTGAAGTTCCTATAAATCCAAATTCAGAAGAATCCTATTAGAAGCACAATGTTCATGTGAAATTAATTTTCAAAAATTCAGACCATTTTAATGAGTTCCTCAGTCATCCCTGACTTGCACAACATTACCACATTCACACTGCTTTGCATTCTGCATCTGTATCATCCTCATACGGATTAGACTTATGAAAGCCGTTCCAGTGTAGGCTCATGTGTTAGTGCATTGGGATTAAACCTGGATGGGACACAAGTACTTACCTGCCGCTTCAAGTAAAGCTTCTAATCTTGCCTGGGTTTCTGGATCTACTGTCCTCAGGTCAGCACCATCAGCAGTACTTGACAAAAGCAATTTGGAAGCTGTTTCCAACATAGGGTTTTCAAGATCATCCTGATCCAGGATAAATGATTCCACCTGAAAAATAACAGGTCTAATCTCAGAAGAATGTAACTGACCAACTTCCAATTAATGCATCAAAAAATGTAACTGCAATGCAGCAGGGTTTTTTTTTTGTTTACTTGTTTTTTGTTGTTTTTTTTTAATACTTAATTTACCAAACCACCCTCAGCTGACTCAAAATGATATTATTTCTCCATTGTAAGCAATGAGGTTTTTGAAAATCATATACAAGGAACGTTCCTCTAGGAGATCCATAAACTATGATGTTTATAAACTAACAACTGAACCATTTATTAGATTCCCAAGCTCATGTTGAAACACTATTCCTCTCCAAAGCTCAGTCTCAAAAATCCACTTCTTCCACAATCAAAAAACCTACCTAGACATAAGACTGTCCGGCAAATAAACCACACATCAACTATTCATGCTTCATTAAAGACTCCAAACTTACAGTAAAAGCAGCTACTGTCTGTAACACAGCAGTAATATATTTCCATACAGAGTACAGTTTATCAAGATAAAGTACAAATTATTTTATTCTTAAGAATGATTTATGTCTGTCCCTAAAGTTTACAAGCAGTCTCATGAGCATCACAAGTTCAGATTCCTGCAGATAAATGCCCTAAGAACATAAGGGCAGACAAAAAGAAGAACAACCAACTCATCTTAGGACTCCTGAAAGGTCTCCTCCTCTTCCCATCTCTTCCTGCATACAAGCAGAGAGCTTACATCACAGCTTTTCCTTCTAAAACTTGTCTTCACTTCCCCAGCACAATCAAAACTTTGTAGGAATGCTATTAGAATTTAGCTCGAGGACAGACACCTTGTTTGTTCAGGAAGCTAGGCTGAGAACTACTTGCAAAGATTACATTATCACCTAATGTATTCCATTAATAAATACTCACACATGCTACAGCATTCCAACTTGTAAACTGAAGGCAGCCTCTAGTTTTCTCCTCAGCCTATGTCAGTCTTGCCAGGGCCTCTACCTGGTCACGGCCAGCTCCGCTCCACACACCTACTTGACCATTTTTAGACCAGTTCATCTGCAGACCTGCTATTTGCCTTCTTCCTAGAGACCAAGCCTGCTGCAGCAAATGAAAGGAACTACTCCACCATTCAGGAAGAAAGAGACAGATTGCATTGCTGGAAATGCAGATTACTGAGAAGCTGAAAGGCTTCTTGGCTCTCTCAACATCAGAAATGGAAATCAAGATCAACCCTGCATCAACTAACTAATAAAACTCACCTGAGCAAAGTATTTAATGGGTCATGGTTCTTCCCAACATGATACAAGTACTTGCTAAGCAATAATTCAAAATACAAAAACATTCTCATGAAACTCAGATCTCTTCCCCTGACATTGGGTTTTTTGTGCAGTCTGTTTCAAACAGAAACATCTTCCCATTTTCCTTCTCCCTAATAACGTGAGCACTGTGTGATAAAAGCAAGTAGCCTCACCTACAGCATACTAGGAAAAAGGTGAGAAAAAGCAATCTACGTACTAACAACACAGTACCATTAAAACCACAAGTCATCAGGAGAAAATGTATTCTGTAGAACATTTTGGATAAGAGTCATATAATGCGCTCTCACTTAAACACTGTTTCAGAGTAATACCTCAAGAAATGAAATGTATTAACAGCTTATTTTAGACTATTTCACAACATTAAATATAGCTGGATTCCTTTCCTAAGAGATTCATCTTCAATCTATGGGTTGCAGAACTTTCCAGCAGGCTAGCAGTTACACCTCTCTCTCTAATTGCCCTTTCTCTTAAGGGTGTTTCATTAGCTCTACAGTTTTGTTTCTCAGCCTGTTCAGCATGACACCGCATCCAATGCATGATGACAGTGGTAGAAGTTTTTCTAATAGTGGTGAATAAATCTGTATTTTGGTAGGTGAAATTTCTGTTTTCGTTTTTTTCAGAAAATACCACATTCTCTGCAGATGCAAGAGACTAAAGAAAGCATTTCCATTTGCTAGCCCGAGTAAACAGACACTTCCTTTAACAGTCTCCAGATGTATATTATTTTCCTTAACTAAAAACGCGTGGAAGAGTACATGCATGCTCCACCTCACATATCAGAACAATCAGTCTAGGTTCTCAGTCGGCACTTCTCTGATCACACAATACTGTGACATAATCCAATTGTTCGGACAGCCCCCAGCACAAAGTCTTTTACAAGATTTCTCCTTCTCTCTCACCCGGCAATAAAACCTCATGTTCTGTACTTGTTTATCTTTGCTTTGCCCAGAATGATTTCTAGGGAAGCTGATGCTAATACCGATCAAAAGGGCGGGGGGGGGAGGGGGAGGCAAGCAATGGAAATTCCAAGTTTTGACTGCTTCTTAACTAAACAGACTTGTTTTGATGCATTAAATACAAAAAGAAATTTTAAAAGGGCCCAAGAACTGCGGTTAGTAGGTGTATTAATCCAAACCTCAAAGAAGTTTCACACTGCAAGTACCCCAGCACCAGTCACAGCTATTATTTTTGTAAGCAGAAAGCAATCCTTCTAAGTATTCCAAGTATTGAGATACTAGATTCAACTGCAACTTTCAACACTGCACTTTTATCATCTCCACATAGAGGTGACAAAGCTTCACAATATCAAAGCTGAGGGCTGCCCACACACTCCCAAGCCTCCTTCACAAGCTCTCATCTCTGTATACAGATGGGCGCTTCTGTTTTCCAAAACACAGACTCAAAATCCTATCTACTCATTCATCCTCTCGTTTTGGAATGACCGTTAGCAAGGAAAACAAAAGGAGCTAAGTAGGAAAGATAGCACAAGATTTCTTTGTTACTGGTCTAGAATCAAGAGGTGTACATTTCTACAGGAAGTGTATTTTATGAGCCTGGAAACAGCTTTGCTTTCATAAAAAACAGCACTTTTAGTACTGTTCTACCATCTAACACACACAGATATCTCAACTAGAGAAAAGCAGATCTACAGGACTCTTGTGCCTGTATGCTCAAGAAAGTTGTGAAGTATTTCAGCAATTCCATATTTTGACTGCAAACTGCCAGATGCTGAACGTGGATTTCACTGTGCAATAGCAGACCCCCTGGAGACAGGATTCAGTTCCTCACCATCTCTCCTGTGCAAATCATATGTATGTAGAGCCTGCCGTGGATACACAGTGTTGATATCCCACCTTGTTTCCCCTATATGAGTATCTTCACAGTCAAGACATGCCTCCATATGGCCTCACACAGCTGCAACAAAGTGCCAAACTTATCCTGCAGCTTTCCTCCAAGTAGAGCTTTTTACACAAAAATTGACCAGGAGCCCAGATTCATTTTAACACCTTCCTAATTTCATGTCAAGCCAGGTAGAAAGGAAGATGGAATACCAATCTCAACTACGTCACTCATTGCCCACGCTGCCGAGATAGAAATCCAGTACTCAACAACAAACCAAGTCCTCAAAAACTACATCAACTAAATATAAAGCTCATGGTCTCATTTTACTACCAAAGTCAATACATTATATCCAAACTAACATCATAAGCCTAAAGTGACAGCAACTTCAAACTTACTTTCAGCAGAAGTGCCTGCCACACATGGCTAACTTGGTATGAGAATTCTTCATGTAAATAAACACAAAGGAACCAGTATCACACATCCAAGTACAGCACCGTTGAAATCTGATCAGACTGTACAACTTCACTGCCAAGAAATTTTGATATTGCTTGATGCAGTGCAATGAAAGACCCGCAAGATCAGAGCTAAGCCTTTCTGTTACACTAGTGGTACATTTAAAGTGTTTCTTACATGTCTGTCTTCATGCACCTCTAATACTTGCAGTATTCTAACTTCCAATGCCACTACCTGTAAGCTGTGATGCTCTACGGTGAGCTCGTAACAGTAGACATCAAAAGAGACACTTGAAATTTTGTTTATTAACAGTGGTAGAAAACAGTTCAATAAGCACCACCTACTAAAGTCCTTAGCACTGAATATCAAAAGACTATTATTTATCCATCTAATCACTACATGGCTGCCATGAATAGCTCTGCTCATTAGCCTACAGAGCATCTCTGGCATTTTTCACTGGTTTAAAGACTTTCCCCTCGATCTGGCTGTCTCAAGGACAACCTGGAGGAATTAAAAAAAAGTTCTAACCAGTCATTTTCTCAGCCCTACGTTATGTTACACAGCTATGAGACTTTATGGGCCCAAGAAGTGCATTTTGCAGATTCCATTCCACTGCCCTTCTCCCTAAGGACACCCTGTAAGTACTCTGTACTTACTGCTTTCCAGCACTTTGAAAGAAATTAACACAACAAGCATTTAAAACACCATTCTCCACATAAATTACAAAAACCAACATCACACTACTGTAACATATGCTATCCAAAAGCTGATGCAGAAATAGAAGGCAGCAAGCAGTTGCTACAGCCTGTGTGCATTTAGGCACGCAGTCGTCAACCCAGTCAAAATACTAAAAAGCACAAAGCCGTGCTTAGGCCAAACATCAGCATCATCGTCTTGGAAAAAATGCACATTCCTAGATGTTTTTTTAGACAGCACTTGCAGTCTGAAACCACACAATACAATATTCCCCGATCTTACATGCAGACATGCCCAAAATAGTAGCAAACATTTTATACAAAAACATGTTTCAAGTAGCAAAGTGAAATCCAGTTTCACTGTCTAGCAGTCAGGGTGCTAGCAACAGACTTAGAAAGCTGTGAACGAGCAAGCTGCAGTCATTAACATAATAGGATGAAACGTTTTTAAGCTTCAGTATTCAAGCTTCATAAATAACATCATCTGAAACCTGTTTTGGATGAACCCAACAAGCCCAGACAAGTATTTCAAGAGGCCTCAAAACACCTTGTCTGACAAAATATTTTCTTTGTGGGCATTTTACTTCTCCTTGGGGGTGGAAGGTGGCCCCTGATTTTTAGGGCCTTACAATTTAAAAGCCAACTTACTTTGCCACTGCTGACAGATCACTCCTATGCTTTTTGTCTTCTATTAGGCATGGATTCCTGATTTGGTA